TTCACCTACTACCTGTATGGAAATTTGGCCTCAGGTTAATCCTACTCCCAGAAAGCCTGCAGACTCCTTGTCATTCTAGTTCCAACTACTTGTATACCCTGTAGCTCTGGTCTGGGATATTCACCTATATTTTTTAATATTTCCAATCAGGCTCCAAGCTACCTAGACTTTAACCCTGACTACTTGGGGCTCAGTTTTGAGATTTTTACATTATTTTTACCTTTCTTTTTAATTTTTGATGAAGAAATCCCTGAAGAATAGAAATGTTCCAGTGTATGTTATATTTGGAGTTATAGCTACTTTAGAGAAGCTGTTAACCTCAAGTAACAGGGGGAAAAACATGTATTAATCTTAAAACCAGAAAAATAATAAAAAGGTAACAAATGTCTCTATCTGGATTACTAATGTACATCTTTATGGAGTAATTACTCACTATGAGAAATTGACATACTAATATCTGTTTAGCATTTTGTGTTGCATAATTTATTTCTCATGTACAAATAATGGCTAATGGATACTTTCCATAGTCTGAATCTTTGTAAATTTTGGAAAAACATATCTAAGTTGACAAATGAGGGCTGACATTTGGCTATGCTTTAATAGGCTAAACACCAAGCAAATCCTATTCCTTTATTTGTTCATTTTGCAATAAGTCTTGACATCACCTTCTCCTCTTTCTTAAATTTGCTTACTTAGGGCACAAAGCAGTTTTGATGTGCAATCTGATTTCAAAAGAATCTTTGAGACAGCTAATCTTCTGTACACTCACTGTAATTAAATATTACAGCACAAATGGTACATAAGATACTCACTTTCTTGAGAACCTCTTAGCACCAAAGTGCAATGACATAAAAAAGTATAGATTTTCAGAGTGGTTTTTTGTAGATTTTTCAGCTTGAACTTTTAACTCTTATAGCACCTACAGCTTGCACAGAGTAAAGCATTATATGTAATAGAGTGGAAATATCTTTATTAATTGTCTTCCATTCTGTCCTAAACTCTCATTTTACCTCAGTTTAAAATCTGCTAGTAGACTAATCCTCCTTACCTTCAAGCAGTTTGTTCCATCCATGAACATGTGCAATAGGAAATGCCATATTGAATTAGATTAATAACCAAGTACAGGTCTTTGTCTCTTGGGTACCAAAATATGTTTATAAGAGGGTTCACTGCTATCTTTAACTCTTTAAACCCAGTAACTGATAGCTACTAATATCCCTTTATCAATTAATCCCTTCGCCATCCTTACCTTCCAACCTTAAATCATGTGATAGTTCCATAAATACACTATAACCATTAATACTTTTATTTTTCTTGAAACCAGTTTTAAGAAGACATAACCAAACTCGGAATTTGGAGAATAAATCCATCGAACAGATGACCTTCATGATTTATTTCCACTTTTTCCAGACTGAGAGCCCAAGTTTTTAAAATGTGTTTCTTGAAAAAGCAAACAAACACACAGCAACAACAGCCAAACAATTCAATAACAGTTCACTATATATAAAAGTTTATGGTCTCCTTCATTATATGTACCTATGACTTCATCTCCAAAGATAACCATGGTTAAGTTCCTTATGGGCACTTGCAGAGAGATTCTAAGTGTGAAGGTTAAATATGATGTTTTCGACATACATCTTTTTCACTCCCCTTTGAAATTATACTAAAATGACAAAACATACTAAAATTATACTGAAATGACAGAAAAGCATGGTTTGCTTTCTCAGGAAAAGAAAACTAGAACAGAGTGTACAGGCACAAAATTTTTAAACCTCAGAAACAGATGGTGATTAACTTCTACACCAAGAGAACTTAAATGCCTGCAACAGAGACGCACTGGGAAAGGCAGATTTACCATTGCAGTTACTGAAAGGTTTAGAATTTGAAAGATCCAAATACCTCTGAAGGTTACATTGTAAATAGTATTGACTGAAATTCTGGTTAGGAAGCATTTCAAGCTCAGCCTCCCTACTACCCCTCCCCCAAATGACATGCTTTTACCAGCAGAAAACTCTTCAGAGGTCAAACTATAGGTATTCTATGTATAGGGGGAATAGCACAGTTGAAGATGGGAGCTAGCATATGGAAGAGAAAAGTATTAAAGATCTTCCTATACTCAGCTCTGAACAAAATAGCAGTGAAAGACCAGAGAGAAAAGATGGGTAAAAGAGAGAAAAGATGGGTAGTCAAGTCCCACCCTATGAAATAGTCCAGCCGGAGTTTTAGCAAAATGAGTGAAATTCATCAGTCAAGAGTTCATCATGCACACCGAGCTTCCTATTTGTCTTTAAATATGAACACACAACAAAAGATTACCAGATATTTGTCTGTTATGAGACATTGAAAACACAACTAAAACAAAAGGAATGAAGCAACAAAGGAAGAAAATCTGACATTCAATAATCAGTGCAAATAAAAGTTACTGAATATGCAAGGAGACAATAAAAACAAGAATAAGAGAAAACAAAAAGGGAAGTCCAGGGGGAAAAATCTTAAATACTATGGAACAAATAAAAAGCTCAAGAGAATGGACAGGTGATAAGAAGTTTCCCAAATTATTTAAAATAGTACAAAAAAGAATGATATAAGAAAGGGAGGGGAAAGTATAGACTGAATATAGGAGATTTAATAGCTGAATAATAGAAAATCCAGAAAAAACTAGACAAAGAAAACAAGAGGAGAGAAAGTTCTCAAAGAAATAATTACATTATTTTTTCAGAAATTAATGCTATAAAGTTTTATATTGAAAGGACCAATGTGTTATGTGTAGCACAACCAATAAGTAAAATACCTTTGCCAAGTTACATCAATACAACATTTTAGAACAGTAGGGACAAAAAGAAGATTCTATTAATTTACAGAGAAGAAAAAGCCCAGGTCAGGAATCGAAATAGCATCTGATTTTTCTTGAAAACAACCTTGAAAGCGGAAAGACAATGGGCCGATGCTTTCAAAGTTCTGAGGGGAGAGGTGTGGTATTCTAGATTTCCACCTCCAGGCAAATTTGTTACCCCAACTTGAGGGTAGAATCAAACATTTATTTATGATGCAGCCTTTCACAGGATATATGGAGGATTATGTTCCACTCTAAAATATGAAAGAAAAGAAAGATCTTAGCGCTGGAAAGTTAAAATACAACCTTCAACAGATGGAGAAGGGAGATCCCAGAATGACAGTTCTGCAGCAGAAGTAGAACACCATTTAAGACAGAATAGTAATTTGGAGATTTCCAAGAAACATTTCTAAAATTATCATAAAAAAAGTCCACACTACCTGATGTGTTAGAATGTATTAACAACATATGTTTAGTTCTGGAGATGAGTCTGGGGAGGATTTAATGACTGGCAAATGACAGGTATGCAAAAAATGAACCAAACCAAGGAGAAAATTAACTAAAGGGAGAGTAATAAAATGTATAAGAGAGGATATAAAAGAATGATGTGACAGCTGATTTAATGAAAATTATGCTCTAGCTAAACTGAAAAGATGGGGGAAGGGGAATTATTTCTCTGTGTTTTGGAGGGGGCATATGCAGAAAGCCAAATCTTCATCTCATACTGTAAGAAGATAATAGTCACTCTAAAAATTAAATCAATCATGAAATATTGATATAGGCATATTATCTTGAAAAATGAAGGTAGGTGCCAAAAGAAACTAAAAGACTTGAAAGTAATTGTTCCTGAACAACATAAATAAGGATAGATGTGATGGGCATACTGGTTTTTATTTTACTCCTGTAGAACTCTTTGACTTAATGTATTTTAAGTACAATCCGTAACATTATACAGTATTCTGTACCTTGCTTTGCTCCTATGAAAATATCTTGCAGATCATCTAATATGAGCATGATAATGGATTTTATTATTTTTTCATAGTGATATACTATTTCATTGTATAGATATCTGTGTTGACATGCAATCTTATATGTTTTTGGATATTAAAATCCTGGAAGTAAAACAGTAGGTCAAAACTTTGAGATATTTCTTTATTGTCCTTCAAAGGTATTGCACCCAAATTTATAGCCTCACAAACTTTTCACCATACATTTATCAATACTATACACTATAAAACATTTCTATTTTTTAATCTGACATGTGAAAAGATGTATTATCATTATTGATTTAACTTGCATTTATTTAAATGTTTTTCTAAAAACTTTATTCAATCCCAATTTTTGAAATTTATGCCCTTAAAATTTCTTTCCATTTCCTTATTTTTTTCTATTCTATTTCTCAAAAACATTTGTTCTTTTCATTTACAGTACCAGACAGCATTTATCTTTTCTAGAAAACTTTTACAATATGCTTTTTACTTCCTGTGAGCATTGTATATGTATATACATAGTCATAATTACAAGGTACATTACTCAGTTTTTAAGATGTGTGCCAAGAATGATAGTGATATAAAGAAAATTATAAAGATAAAATGAGGATTATAACTTCATGCTGATTTTCATCATAATATTTTACAGAATTTAAGATGTGATTGATTGCATGATGCATTATTTCATGAGACATTAAGTAAAAATGTCGCCAATTAAAAGATGAAAACAATGCTTTGAGGCTGCTTTAATGTTGGTTTAATCATTTTAAGCTATTTAAACAATCAGTTCTGTAATGTAAAATTGATATTCCATTAAGTCTCATTTAAAGTTTCTGAAAAGCTCTTCAATAACTATGACCACAGTTCTATAATGTATGAATTCCTATTAATTACTATGAGAGGTTTTATGGCTGTGACTTATTTACTTAAAGTATTGATGAAGTTAATTTTATTGGCATGTATTATATGGTTATAAGATACATGAAGGTTTAGTAACCAGCAAAGATTTCCACAGACTGGAGGTAACATTTTTCAAAGATGCTAGTCCACAGATACACATAAAAGTAAAGCACTAAGCTTCTTGATTCAAGAGTCAGTATATTTATTTTAAGATAATATAAGAATGTAAGACAGGTTGTTTTACAGTTATATTTTATAATAAGAACAATAAAGTTAATTTCTAATATGAAATGATTCTAATAAATACCATAGACCTTTTATCATGCAGACTTTCTGCATAGAGTATACTAAAATTTAATGTATAGCTTCATCTTTCCAAAGATTAGGTTGCAGAAGGAAATAGAGAATAATAGCATACATGTATTTAGTACATTGCTATTTTCAAAACATTTAATTAAAAGCAATTATGTAAACAAAAATCTAGTGAGATATTTTTACCTCCCATTTTATAGATGGTGAAGTTCAAGAGTGATAAAATGTAGGGGAATCGCTGTGATTTACTATTTTTTCCATTTTAATTGTATAGGATATTTTATTTATTCCCACTTAGTATAATGGCAGAATTATAAAGAACTTGAGTCAATTCAGTTTTTATCCACATTTGTATGACTGTTATAAAGAGCAGCTTTTCCATGTATGCAACATGATACAAAATATAGTCAAAGGCAAAGCAAATTCCATATTTTTAATTATTTTAGATAGCAAATTATAATATTGAGAACATTCAGTATGAGGTAAAATAGACTTGGTGCATGTTAGATGAGCGGGTAGGCATTTTCATTTAGTCAACCAATTGTATTTATCAGTGAAATAAATAACATCAGAAAAAGAATGTAAAAAGTCTAACAAATACATGGTCAATACTAATAATAACATTTTCTTGGAAATAACATTACTTTTATAAATAGGCTGATGCAAACTACCAATTTCACATTTAATAACTTAGAAAACAAAGTCAGTATTTCCTATTTTCATATGCAAAAGCAAGGCAATAGTTGGAGTGTGTGCAATTTACATTAAATATATATTAGAAAAGAAGATAAAGAACTTATCTTTAACATAAAATATAGAAATATATTAATTTAAATCCACTGATTTATTTTTATATAGTGTTTTTAATAACCTATACTTTTCTGATTGAACAGATTTCCATTAAGTACTATCAGTTTTCTCCATGTGAAAATCTAATTTTATTGTGTTTAGTAGTTTTTCCATTCTCTTTTAAGACTTTATTTTGAAATAACAAGTTATATTTAAATCATTCATTATTGCTAGCTGTTTGGCATCACTTTTGCATGTGGTCCTTTTGACAGAAACAAAATATTAACGTCTACCTAATATATACATCAGTCTTCTACACCATTTTATATTAGTATTTTATAGTATTCATTTTGACACAACAGACATGTACTAACAATATGCAATATGTTACAAAGCTAAAAGATTATTTTTACAAGTGTTACTGGCATATGCCATCTGCAATCAGGAGCAGCAGCATGTTAAGATGATGACAGTGACTACTACTGCAACTACCACTGTTTCTACCATCAATATATAACTTTTTTGATAAAGAAAAATCTACATTTAAAATTTCTTTATACATAAAAGAATACCAGACAATCTGTCGACTTTGGTAAGTGAACAAAAACTTTTAAAAAAATGTTTTATGATTCAAACAATATAAATTAAGTATTTTTAAAAGTGAAAGGTACAGTGTAAACCATAATGTTATAGTAGCTTAATTTCTACTTGTTTCTCAAAATTATCTCAATGTAATTATAAAATGGGCAAAGAATGAGGAGTTATTAACAATTCTAAGGGCCCTAAAACAAATAAATCTCAAGGATTTTCTGAAAATAAGTTCACAGTTTGAAACCAAAGAAAACCTGTTTTTAGCAAATCTACAGTCTAGGATTCACACATTATCTTGAAGTGAGGCAAACTGTTAACAAATAAAAAATATATTTAAAATACATTTTTACATAGTCATTGGAAGTATCTATATACTTCTGAAGGGAATGAAAAAGTGCAAAGTTCAGTAAATCAAGACAAAAGCTCTACTTGAAAACACGTAACATTTGTAGTTAGTAAAAAGATAAATTTTATGTACTACATTCAAGAATTCAGTTCAAGAAAAAGTCATGATTCATAGCATTTCACCTTTTCCTTCATTTCTACATGTTCAGATCTCAGAACTGCTTCAGATCTCTGAAATTTTTGCTTCTTGCATTCATCATGTAGATAATAATCATTTAAACTTTACCTTAGGAGTATCTAATTTAAAAAAATGTAAAAGTAATATTTATTTAGGATGAAATTCAGAGATACCATTAATCAAATATTATTATTATGTTAATATGAAAAGTATGGTACATAATCAAAATACCGAACAGAAAGTCTCAGAATCATTGATTTAATCATAAAACATTTGATTTGAAAGTTCAGTGTTTTGCTTAGTAACATTTCTAATCCTCAGTTTTATTAGTCTGAAATAAAAGTAGGCTTTTTAATCTATGTGTGTGTACTACTACACAGAATCAGTACTGTCAATGTGACACAAGTTGGGTACATTATTTATACGGACACAAAAATGGTGTGGTTTGATTGTTTTTATGTTTAGCTGAAGTTATTACAGGGCAGTATAAAGTTCCTTAAAATAGAAATTGAGAAGGCCTAACTTCTTTGTTAGCGTACTCACAATCACCACCTAAGATAAAAAGTAAATCTACTTGCCTATAAATATTTTAGACCAACATTTCCCAAAATGGACTCCATAAAAAGCCTCAAGGCTACTTTTCAAGATATTAAATACTGTCCTTTTTTTTTTTTAAAGAGACAGATAAACCAATAATGGCATATTAAGTTCTGATAAGTTCTAAGAGAAAAGGAGCCTATCTAGCCTTGTTTATTATATTCTCAAATTTATTTCACTAAACAGCATTTATTTTAAAGAATAATATGCACTGTAATCCTATGGAATCACTTTGGGGACCATGGCTATAAACAACTCTAAATGTTTTAACCTTGAGAAAAACAGCAAGAAATATATATATTTGCAGCTGTATAATTGAACAAAACTTTCATTGTAGAGACCTAGCAAATCATAACCCACAACTGACCACAAAATTTTATAGTTTATTTAAAAAAAAAAACCGTTATTTTGAGAATCAGCAACAAGTTTTAGATATTTCTTTGAATGGATCTCCTGAGTCCTCCCAAATTCTATTGTGATAGTGTAGGTGGCACAAGGGGTTAAGCACAGAACTGTGAAGCTATCTGCAGCCTCTGCAGCATGAGTTCAAACCCCGGTCTGCCAGGGAGATATCCACAAGGTGCAGCAGACCTCTCCTGTCTCGCCCACTGTTCCCCTCAGTAGTGTATTTTAGTGGGTCTGCCTTTTCTGCTCCCCACTCTGTCTCTGGTGAATCCTCTCACCCCCCCACCTCTGGCTTGTACCCTAGTTCTTGTATGCATAAATAAACCTTTAAAAAAATTGTTTTTAAAAAAAGCCTCTTTCCCCTGCTATCAAATGGAGTATCAATCTGTGAAGATTGAGATACTACATGTAGAATACCGCCTAAAAAATCTCTTAAAAAATATCTGCTATTATTGTATCAGATGTTTGGGAATCATGATAAAAATTACTAATATATTGGTAACAAATATTCTTTAGATGCTAATGATCCTAGATCATAAAAACCTATTTTAGATTCATTACATTTTATCTGCTCAGATACAAACCTGCAGGTTAAAGAGAAGTTTTTAATCAAGATACTCCAAGAGAATTCCAGTCAGATGAATATTTGTTCCATTTCATTTTCAGACCACAACTTAGTCGCAATTTGCTTTGTTATAAAGACAATTTGTAAACAGTATTTATTTTTAACTGAGGTACTATTGGGGGGCTCCCATCAGGTATTCCAACACCATACTGCATCCACCACCCACTCACTCATATTTCACCACCATAAACCATTGTGCTTCCTTCCCTCTCTGTTCTTACCCTTTTCCTGCCCCCCGTCACCCACCAGGGTGCTTCAGTTCTGTAGTCAGCTATCAAGAGTTAGTTTTTAAGCTTGTCTATAAAGACAAACTCTTAAAGGTTGAATTATGGGTACAAAATGAAATAACTGAAAGACTTATTCTTAAACTGAGTTAGTGACCTAAAATTAAATGTAAACTATAATAATTTTATTTCAGCTATTTCTCCTCATAATAGAAAAATAAATTATCACCCTTCCTTTATTGCTACTGAACAAATTTAAGTAGAGAAGCTAACATACTTATCTGCTATGAAGTTCCTTCTTCAGACAGGATTTGAAAGTGGGGTACTTCTGAACTGTTTTATAGCCCTATGAACAAGATTACAAAATGTGCAAACGTAAATAAAATGTTATGTGTACTTAAGTATACAACAGATCTATAAAGAAAAAATAAAAGAAAAAATAAAAACACATAACATCTAAGAGGGTGATACAGTGTTAGTGGTTTATAGCACAGTTTATGTTTGATCTTACTACTGTAAAATTTTTTAGGAAAGATAAATTATTGTTAATACATGCCTATTTATTTGTACCATTATTGCAAATATTAACAAAGAGCCACTAGGTGGCAGTTAAGTACACAGTATCTTCAGGAAGACAGCTTGGTTATAAGAAAAACTCATTAAAAATTTTTAAAAACACTATCTAAGATGAATCTTGATATTTGGTATATATATTTATCTGCTTTAAAATATATAATATTTAGTTTTCTTACCAAAAAGGTAAACTTGAATATTCTAATTTTAATGGAAATATGTATTTTTCCATTTGCGGCACATTCACAAAAATGTTAGATGTATAAACATTTATTGATTTATGTTATATTTCATTCTTTAAAACAAATTTCTAAGAAAAATATTAAATTTCTAAGGATTATTTTGCCGTATAAGATGCTATCAGACAAAAACATTTTTTCCCCTTATTTTTCACTTAAAAAGTACTGGCTGTGCAGTGACTTAAGATATTCAAGTTGCCTAGTGGAAATCTGTGACACATTAAATGATAAATAGTGGGGTTTTTTTTTTCTTATGCTAATAGTCTGAACAGCCAGTGTATAGACCGAATCAATCAAAAATATTTGGCAACCTTTCCCCCAAAAAACTGGGATGAAGACATCAACTAGTTGAATATGCAAATAAATTCTTGAATTTAAAACTGGTTTCTAAGAGAATTCATTATCTTTTATCACCTCAAACTATTTTTGAAAGCAGGTAGGGCTTCATATTTTTTCTTTTCAAGATCACATTTCATATTTATAGCCTTATATATGCTTCTGAAACTTAAATTTTTCTTTTCTTTTAGATTTTAAAAAGAATATAAATAGGCTTGAAATTTCTAGATTTACCCGGAATCCTCTATGGAGTCTGTCTTTCATAATTCCAATAAATTCTTTATAACTTAATTGATCATCTTTGTCAACGTCAAAAATCTTGAAGACTGTGTTCACTAAATGTGGTGAAAGTTTGAGACCAGTAGCTACATAGACGGCACGCTTAAATTCATCTAGATAAATGTTACAGAAAAGGAGTAGAATATTATTATTTTTACAAATATGTGTTAATTACTAGAAAGGTTATAAAAGTTTTTTTCTAAACAGCAGTCATGATTGTATGTAATACATGACTTTACATTAATCATGTTTTTTTTTTAGGAAAAAAAATTCTTATGATTTTAACTAAAAGGGCCAACAAGTAGCTCTATCTTTTGTTAATAATGCATTCACTTTAATGAGCAACTATTATCAGCAACAGACACATAACAAGTTATTAAGATGAATAAGAAACTTACAATTCAGATGGGGCATGAAATACCTGTCCAAATTACTTAACACTGAACTTTAAGGGGAAGCTGATGCAAATCTGATATATCTAATTAATTTGTGAAAGTCCTTAGAAACAATGTAGGATTATTTTCTGCTTTCATTTTTGAAAGAGGATGACTTACCTTGCCCTATAGAACGACTTGCAAAGTTATACATATTCAATGCTATTGCAAAGTCTTCTAGGTTGTTCAGGAACTGGAAAAATGACCTGAACTCATCAAATGTGATGCCCTATATTGGGAAAATAATTGAAAACATATTTAGTATTGCCAAATTTATAAGCATCTACACTTACTAGAAATAAAGTACCTTGAAAGTAAAAACTTCCAGGGCACATTCTCTTTCTCCAAAGAGAACATAATATTCGCTGGGTAGTGCTGCTACCATTAGCAATGATAGATGAACATATTTTTAAAACACTGTCACATCAGCACAAAATGTTTCAAAAGAATACCATAATAATAAATAATTGTCAAGTTACAATTTTGAAAACTCTGTATTTTAAGACTGATTTCTTATACCCTGAAAGTAAATATGTGAATAAAGAAAAAAAAATTTTCTCAGTGCATGTACTCTTTAAATATAACTTATCACTGGGTCATTAATATCTTTATAATGACTATACAAAATCTAAATGCTGAATAAACCAACAGTACTGTATTTTTATTATTTCTGCCATGACAGTGCTGCCAATACAGCAGCAGGAAGTACAATGTTTGGATACATGGAGCTTTGAGAAGCCAGACTATCATAGGGCTCAGTGTAGGACTCTGGAATATTGTTTACATAAATTGCACTTAAGATTAGTAATATTACTTCAATTAAAAAGGAAAGTTTTATAAAATAAGCACAATGTATCTCAGATAATACAAATGTGCACAAGAAGAATTTAATGTGTTTGCTTTTAGAAAAATTAACATAATTTAGGGAGATATAAACAGAAAAAAGAACAAAGGGCAATGAGTTTAGGCTTAACAAATTTTGAAGGGAAACTAACAAGGCGGCATTGAAAGGCTAAGGAAAGGACCAGAAGAGTCTACTTTCATATAAGCCAATTACTGATTAAGTGATGCATTATCAAAATGATATTTATAATCAAAATAATAACACCAATTTTTTGTACACATCACTTCTACTTCAATTACAACCCGTCTTTAATTGCAATGAGAATTATCAGTGGCTTTTTAATCTTTACAATTTTCTCTTCTTTCTTTATATCCATTTATGGCTACTCTATGCTTTCTGCTTTGTGACCTGCTCCTACCTGCTACCTTTTCCAGAGAGAGCTGTTTAAATCAATTAGGGAGACTGAGCCAGAGGGGTTTTCTTGATGAGTAGAGCTTGTTGCCAGGGAAACTGGTCACTGCTCTGGTTCTGGACTAGTTTATGCTGCAACCAGCTGTTACAGCAAACGTCTCTGTATTTCAGGGTGACAGGTTAATGCTGTTAAAAATGGAAAACAGGAGGATGGTCTATTTTTAAGAAAAGTGTAAACAAAAATGTCAATACCTTTAGTGAGCATAAAATTAAAAAGCCAATCAAAGAATGAGAGGATAAAATATTCAACAGCTGAACCTTTATATTTTTCAAAATAAGGTTCTCATGTTTAGAAAAGACAAGTCAAATTGAAAACTATGCAATACACTTTTTTGTGTAAACTTTGCATTTGGGAATATGGAACTGTGAATTGAAAACTGGGCATTCATTTTGATGGCGCTAATTTAAAGTAATCCATTCTTCACAGCAGTGAGTGACAAATACTCTGAGGGAGTGGCTGAGAGAAGAGACAAGGCGGTTGCTCCTCCTTCACCCTCACCTGCAGGATCACTTCTGTAATGAACCATTGGGACTTAAATGGAACATGCCTAATTGTTAGAAGTAAAGTGCAAGAGTAGAGTAGAAGTAGAGCATCTTATATTTAAATAAAATTAAACAATTATAGCTAAAAAAAATTAAAGCATCAAAAATACATGAGAATCCAGGAAAAAACCAAATATCTATCATCAAATGATTTTCAGCAAGGGTACCAAAACCATTTATTGGAGAAAGAACAACCTCTTTAACAAATGGAGCTAGGAAAACTGGATATCCATACTTAAAACAAATAGTTGGGCTCTTACTTTACTCTGTATTACAAAAATTAACCAATGGATCAAAGACCTAAGCTTAACAGCTAAAACAGTAAAACTCTAACAAAAAACCACAGAGACAAATCCTTCATGACCTTGAAAGTTTTTTTTTAAATATTGGCAATGGTGTTTTGAATGTGACACCAAAAGCATAAGCTATAAATGGAAAAAAAAAGTAGATAAATAGAGCTTTCTCAAAATTAAAATCTTGTGTACTAAAGGACACATCAAAGGAAAATGAAAAGACAATCCAAGGAATGAAAGTATTTACAAATCATGTACCTGACAGGAGGCTAGTACCCTATAGAATATATAAATATGCTTACAAATCAGTAACAAAAAGACAATCCAATTAAGACATGGACTAGGAATTTAAATAGTATTCTTCCAAAGAAGATATATTAAAGACAAACAAATACAGGCAAGATGCTCAACATTATTCACCAGGGAAATGCAAATCAAAACCACAATGACACCACTTCATATTCACTAGAAAATGAAAAAGGTAGAACATAACTAGTGTTGGTGAAGAAGTGAAATTATAAACGTTATACATTGTTAAATGTATTGTAAAATGATATAATTATATTTGAAAACTAGTTTGGCAGTTCCTCAAAATGTTAAACATTAAGTTTGCCAAGTGACCCAGCTACTTATTCTGAAGTATATACCAAATTCCCTGGATATTGAAAATATATGTTCACACAAAAAGTTGTACACAAATGTTCATAATAGCATTATTTGAAAAGCAAACGTTGCAACAAACTCAATGTCTACCAACTAATGAACAGATAAAGTATTATCCATAAAATGTAGTAGTATTCAGCAATAAAAAAGAATGAAGTACTGATATTTGCTATAATGTAGATGAACCTGAAAAATGTTAGGTTAAGTTTAAGAATTCAGACACAAAGGTCACAGTCTATAATTCCATTTATAAGAAATATCCACAATAGACAAATACATAGAGACAGAAAGCAGATTAGTGGTTGCCAGGAGTTGAGGGAGGGGACTGGAGAGTGACTTCTTAAAGGGTACAGGGTTTCTGTTTGGGAGGATGAAAAAGTTCTGGGACTAGACAGTAGTGATGGTTGCTATCATAATACTGTGAATGTACTTAATGCTACTGAATTTGACAAAGGCTTGAAAAGACCCAAGAAGACCTATCACCTCTGGCAGGTTTTGGACTCTGTGGAAGCAGGAGGTGAATTCAAAGGCAGAATTTCAGGTAGCCTGGCTTAGTCTTGAAAAAGTGCTCTAGCTCAGAGCCAAGGTACAAAGGCTGGGAGTGTATTATAGGTTTTTTCTTCTTGGCTTTGGGCATTAGGAAATCTGTCAATTCCCTAGTTAAACATTAAGTTAACTGAACAGTTTTTAGTGAATGTACATGACAAGGAATGTAGCTTTTTCTGTTTCTTCAGTGACTTTTCCAAGCTATTACAAATAGACAACTTCAGGGAGTAAAACTGATTTCCAGAGTTACCACATTATATTCAAAATGATTAGTTTTTAGCAAAAAATTACAATGCATATAGAGAATTAGGAAAATATGAGAATATCAATAAAGAGATGGAAATTGTTAAAAGGAAGCAAAATTAAAACACATTATACCTTTCAGCTCTTATAATAACTGAAATGAAGAATTTGCTTGAAAGGTTTAACAATATATTTGAACAGTCAGAAGAATCCAAGAACTTAAATGTAGGATAACTGAAATTATTCAGATGAGGTATAGAAAGAAAAAGAATAACGTAAAAAAGAGTCTTTGCTTGTCACCATCAAGCATACCAATATACACTAACAGGACTTGCCATGCTACATGCAAAAGAATGAAGCTTGACTACTATCTCACCCCATGCACAAAAACCATCTCAAAATGGATTAAAGAACTAGACGTAAGACCTGAAACCATAAAATATATAGAAGGAAATATAGGCGAAACACTACATGACATGCACCTCAAAGACATCTTTACAGACACATCACCCAAAGCAGTGGTAGTGAAAGCAAAGATAAACAGCTGGGATTACATCAAGTTAAAGAGCTTCTGCAGAGCAAAAGAAAAAATAACCAAAACAAAGAAAAACCCCACCAACCAGGAGAAAATTTTTGCATATAACACTAATGATAAAAGACTGATCACAAAAATCTACAAAGAGCTGATGAGACTCAAAAAAAAAAAAAAAAAAAAAAACAAAGAAAATAATCCAGTCAAAAAATGGGCAGAAGAGCTACAAAGAAACTTCTCCAAAGAGGAAATGCAAATAGTCAACTGGCAAATGAAAAAATGTTCAACATCACTGGTAATCAGGAAAATGCAAATCAAAACTACAATGAGATTCCATCTTACACCAGTGAGAATGGCACATATTAAAACTAGCAACAACAAATGTTGGCGAAGATGTGGAGAAAAAGGAACTCTCCTGCACTGCTGGTGGGAGTGCAAAATGGTCCAACCACTATGGAAAGCTGTGTGGAGATTTCTTGACCTCCTAAAGATATAGCTTCCATATGATCCAGCAACTCCACTCCTAGGTATTTACCCAAAATGACATAGAAACATTAGTTCAAAAGGGCACCTGCACCCCTGTGTTTATAGCAGCACTATTTACAATAGCTTAGCTATGGAAACAATCCAAATGCCCAAAAATAGATGACTGGATCAAGAAGATGTGGTATATATACACAATGGAATATTACTCAACAATCAAAAAAGATAAACTCAAGCAATTTGCAGCAACATGGATGGAGTTGGAAGGATCATGCTCAGTGAAATAAGCCAGAAAGAAAAAGAAAAATACCGGATGGTCTCACTCATAGCAGGAATTTAGAAAACCTAAATAAGGGACCAGGAAAAAGACTAATTGCAATAAAGTAAAAATCAAAATAAACAGGCAACTATAGACCAGAGACACACTACAGTGGGGGGCCGGAGGGGGGGGGAGGAGAAGGATTAGGGTCAGCAAAAGGGGGTGGGAATTGTATGGGGAATATAACCAAAATGGAAATGCATACATTATGCAAAAATGAAAAATGATGTAAGAATTATATAAAATAAAATAATTTTAAAAAAAGAAGTAATGGTTGGAAACCCCCCAAATTTGCTGAAAAACATGATTCTACATATTCAGGAAGTTCAAACCTACAAGTTAGATTAAACTCAAAGAGACCCACGCTATGATATACTATACTCAAATTGTTAAAAAAAAAAAAAAAGACCAAAAACAGCCAAAGATAATATTGAAAGCAGCAGGGAAGAAGTGACTTTTAGTGTAGAAGTGATCCTTAGTTAGATTAACAGCTGATTACTCATCAGAAACCATGGAGACCAGAAGTGAGTAGAATGATATATTTTTCAGGTGCTGAAAGAAAAATTTGGTCAGTCAAGAATTCTGTATGTGGTAAAACTATCCTCGACAAATAAAGAAATAAAGATATTTGCAGATAAACAAAAGCCAATGGAGTCCATTACTAATAGACCTGTCCTATAAGAGTTCAACATTTAAATTAGAATAAGTAGGAAAAATGAAGTTTCTATCAACTGAAACAGAGAAGATGGTGTGTGGAGGAAAGTATTTTTGAAGATCAGTTAAGTTTTGCCACAATTAGCCTAAAATGTCTACTGGATAGCCAAAAGGAAAGTCTGAGTAGGTAGCATGAAGTAAAAATCTACAATTCCAGGGAGAAGTTTAAGCTGGAGACTCAATTTGGAAGCCTATACACAGCTACTGAAATTAGTCCTAATTGCACCCCTGAATAGTAGGTTCACATATCCAACTACCTGCATAATCTCTTTATTTAGATATGTCACAGGGATCTCACATTTAATTTATCCAAACTGAAACTCGATATTCTCTCCTCACCCTAAGTGTGTAGCCTCACTTAGCTCAGTAAATGGCATGACTGTTTTTGCTTTACAATTCAGGTCAAGACCCTAGGAGTTCTTGATTCCTCTTTTTCCTTCAATTTGAAATATGATCCATCAACAGTTCTGCTTTTTAAATGATTCATATCTGACCATGTTGCCCCATTTTCACCCTGGTCCAAGCCATCCTCATCTCTTATAACAACACTAAGCTGCACTCCCCACAACAACATCCTAACTTGAATTTCTTTCAAAGCTGGGCCAAGTAAAGTCTATTCTGTAGATAGCAGCTAAGATGATCTTTTGAAACAGGAATCAGATCATATCTTGAACAAGTCAAGTTACATTTGAGTGTCACAGTAGACAGCAAATATTAACTAAATAAATACTTGTTTAATCAACAAACATCACGCCTATGCACTAAAGTAAGGTTGGCAAGTTTTCTTATAAAGGGCCAGAAAGCAAGTATTTGCATTTTTGCAGACTGTATGGTTTATGCAGCAACTCATCAGCTCTACCACTATGATGCAAAAGCAGCCACAGACAATAAATGTGACAATGAGTGTGGCTGTGTTCTAAATTTTACTTACAAAAATACTAGGGAAGTTTGCTTATCCCTGCTTTAAAGTTTAAATACAACAGAGGCTTGCCATTATTCTTAAGAGTCACAATTAGCATACAATCTAAACTCCTTATCTTGCCTACAGGATTTTATAAGACCTGAACCGGTTACTATCTCTCTTTCATCTCCTACTACTTTCCTGTTCACTTGTTTTACCCCTTTTATAATTTCTCAAATAAACTAAGCTTTTGCTATGGCAAGGCCCTTGGTATTTGCTCTTTCCTTGGCTTGGAATGTTCTTTATTGAGAGCTTTGCATAGACCATTCCTCATGGTGTTGCCTCTAAAACCACCTGCTCAGAAAAGCTTTCTGGACAGTTCATCTTCTTTTCCAGTTCCCATGACTCTTCATCCTTTTAATAGTTACCATTATCTGAAAATATATCATTTATTTATCCTTTGTCAACATGTTTATCGTGTCTATCCACTAAGGTCTGTTTCCATGGGAGAAGGATTTGCTCATCTCCTCACTTTATCCAGAGTTTCTAGAATAGGCCTTGAGGAGTAGATGCTTAATAAATGTCTGCTAGATAAATGTATGAAAATTAAAGTATTTTAGAAATGTAAACTTCTATTCAAATAGTAGTAGTTATTGTTTTGGAGAGAGGAGGATGAAAGGAAAGACATAGGAGGGTGTGGTAGGAATATCTTAGAGTCTTGGATTTGAGTATCCACGGAAAAAAGATCTAAGTCATTATGAGCTTAGTTTCCCTTTTTCTGTAAGAAAGATGTCAATATCTACAAGGTTGTACTGAGGATTAAGTAATGAGAAAAAATATCAGTGAGACTCAATGCTAGTTCACCTGCCAAAATTACCTTTTTCACTGTAATGACTCTTAGTAGTTAAGTTGCTTCTATCAATAACAAGTTTTCAGAAGGTGAATTTAACTTAGAACTTTTTATTTCTACATAATTTTTAATGTAAAATACAATATAAGAAATATTCATGTACTCCCATGCTGGAATTGAACTTTTTTGAGTTATGGATGCTTCCGTATGATAAAAGGAAAGAAAAGATTCTTTAAGGTTTTCTGGATAATACCCTGGTATCTGGGCAAAGTAGTCCAATTCTAATATTTATTTTTATGGCAGTATCTATGAATTGAAAAAATTCAGTTGAACATGTAAAGTGATAAAAGTCCCAAGATTAAGATTATGTAAACTAATGGCCAAATGCATCAATTCCTTTTTTTCTCATTCCCTAGGAGTCCTGGAGAATTGTTAGCACTGCCACAGTGTATCCACTTTAAACAAAGTCAGACTATTTGCAGGTTTTTCTTGGATGGGTTAATTTGATCCTTACACAAACACAAATAGAAGGCTATATATCCAAAACATCCCATGCTTGAAAGCGTACTTGTAACACCAGTTCTATTTGGTTGCAATGATGCATTCAAATACCACTAGATAATGCAACTGCTCCGAAATGCTGACAACACATTTGCTACTAAACAAATAGACAATCAGTTGTCTATGTTCTTAACCATTCATGTCATCCAAATTCTTTGAAAAACCTCACTTCAACTGCTGATAAGATCACTCACTTATCAATGTCTGTCCTCAAATGACCTTTTATTAAGGATATCACAGAAATGAGTAAAGTGTAACTAAAATGATGTCTATAAACCGTTTTATATGAAGTGATATCTTTGTAGTAAGCAAAGCATATAATTCCGATTTCTCTTTATAAATGATACCATAATTTGAATAAAACTGCCAATAACCTTAAGGGTCTTCAGTGCATCTAAGAAAAATATGTGTATCTACCTAGGATTTTAAATCACTCAATTAGAAAAAAATTAACCTGAACACTTAGGACACAGGAAAAAAAATGAAATATATCTGAAGTATCTATTAATTCACAAAGGAATAAAAGCACAAACAAAAGGTTGCTATATTTTATATACCTACATAATTACAGGGTAATAACATGTAACAAAGAAAGTATGGGAAAATAGATACCTTTTCTTCAGGTATACTGTAACGCACATTTTCCAAAAATACTGATGTATTTTCCACATTTGTATATCGTAAAAGAATATGAGCAAAATCTTCTTCACTGATAGTATTCATCCCATTAGAATAGGAGAGGAATTCTATTTCCAGAACTTCTGTTTGGAGGTTATCCATGAATCTATGACAAAAATATATAAAGAATGAATAAGGTAAATGAAGAGTGATGGTAACAGATGGGGGGGTTGTCTTCCTCATCTGTAAAATGTGGATAACAAAAATACCTTGCAGGGTAATGAGATTTAAAGGAGTTAAAGTGTGGTGCCTAGTGTTTACTATAGTAAACACTAAATAAATGTTTTATTACTACTAACTACTACTACTACTACTACTACTACTATGCCATTGAGACTAAGGAATTTTTTTTTTAAGATTTATTTATTTATTTATTTATTTTTGCAAGCACTGGGTACAGTCAGAAGCACGAGAGGGTGAGAGAATTCACCAGAGCCAGAGCGGGGAGCAGAGCAGGCAGAAGGACCGAAGTACACTGCTGAGGGGAGCAGCGGGCGGCAGGAGAGGTCTGCGCGCCATGCGGTACCCGCCTCTGGTGGCCGGGGAGCAGCCGGGGATCGAACCTGCGCTGCAGAGGCTGCGGGCAGCTTCGCAACCCAGCGCTCAACCGCTGCGCCACCGGGGAGGCCTGAGACTAAGGAATTCGTAGTATATTTTCTCTTGAAAATATAGGAAATAATCCAAATTATCTGTACATTTTTTATAATTCAGTAACCTCCTGTTACACTGATCAGTATAGTCACTGGTGTACTGTACTAATGGCAGCAAGTATTTGTTATCAAAGTAAATTCAGTTAGGATGAAAGCTGCACAAGGTATAAATACTAGATGATTCTAAAGACCTTTCTGACTTTAACATGTTAACATGTATTTTCAATACAAATGTAAAAATGAAGCTCACCTATAAAAATCTTCAAAGTTGAGCTCAGCTTTTCCTTTCTTTCCAAAAAAGTGTACAAGAAGTGTAGTATCTGTTACTAAACTTGTGATGTCATCAGCACGCTTAAACAAAGATCACAATTGAAAAATTAGCTACAACAAAACAGAATAGGGATACCCAAAGTCCCTCAACCTATAAACATCAAGAATATATTAACATGAGAATAAAAAGCCTAAGGCTGTATTTATAAATGACATTACAGCTCAAAGTTCAAAATCTGAAAATAGAAATATGAATTGATCCTTATCCCTCCCCAAATTTAAAGATACAATTATACTTAAGTTTTCAAGCTCAAATGATGCATATAGGGTATCTATATTCTAAATTATCTACAACAACCAAAATCCCTAGTCATAATATAAATATTTCAATATATTTAAGTAATTTGGTTTGGATTTTCCCAATCCAACTGAAAAATGTATTTTAAAAAAATATTCAAGGGGTAAATTCTTCAGCTGTATTGAATATATGGAGCTGAGGAAAGAAGGGCCTCAAGTTTCACAAAACATCTTCCTTTAACCGGGCCACTCTCCTGTTGTACTCATATGTATGACTTTAAAGGAAGGTATTTTGAAAGAAACTATAGTAACATTACCTTGGAATTTACATCACCTGTAATTTTTTCAAAGTCTTACATTATTTTTTGAATGGATAAGAAATTCCAGAGGATTTTTCTTTCCCCATTCAATTAGATAAACACCACTCCAAGTATATTCTTAAAAATTTAGTAACAGTTTTGTGAAGTTTAATAGCTTATAAAAATCTTTTCTTTTAATGTAGCTTTATAGGCTACCCTTTCTTTGCCCTCCCTCCCTTCCTGTCCTTTTCTATCTTCTTAATTTGGTCATTAACTCAGACCTATCATAAATGCAGGTACAAAAGTAATAAAATTCAAATTCTTAGCTCACTGATATTATCCTGAGAAATGTAAGAAAAATAAGAGGTTAAATAACTATCATCTTCTATATTTAAAAATGTTTTAAATGTCCATGTAAAAGTATACCTTTGAAATATATTACTTCTTGGCCAGAATTCTGATAGTACTCCGTGGAAAACAGCAAGCATATTCTTCTTTATAAAGGATCAATCTTCTTATATGTCCTCTGACATAAAGCCTCATCTCACACATCTTTTACCACTAAATTTTAGCAACCCTTTGATTTCTTGTAGTCCTTTTCCCAATTTCTCATGAAGATAGCTATTTTATTCTTTAAAACATTTGTGTGATCTTTAATTCCCTTCTCCCTAGACCAAATATTATTATTCTCCTCCAATGTCAAGTATTGATTATAGAGACTACATCTTCTGATTGGTTCTTTCCTCTCCAACATACTTTTTTCTTCTTAATTTTATTGCAGCAATGTTGATTTATAGCACTGTGATTCAGAGGTATAGGATCACCTCTTCAGATGTGTTGCCCCACCCACCACCAAGATGCCAGTAATCCTCCAACATAGTCCACTGGGACTCTTCCACACTTTCCTTTCCACCATTCCCTTCCCCCGTGGCCTTAATTCAACAGAAAGGTTTCTAGGGTTTGTTGTTGGTTTGATTTTGACTGACCCTGTTTTGTTTCTCTGTAACCACCTGACACTTGTCTTCCTCCTTCTGACTTATTTCACTTAGCATTATCCTCTCCAGTTCCGTCCATGTTGTCCCAGATGGCAAGAGGTCATCTTTTTTTTTTTTTTTAATCTCTGAGTAGTATTCCATTGTTTGTATATATACCACATCTTAATCCACACATTTGTCTTTGGGCACTTGGGTTGATTCCATAAGTTGATAATTATAAAGGGTGCTTGCAATGAACATAGAGGTACAAATATCCCTCCTAATTAGTGATTTTCCATTCTTTTTTGATTGTTTTTTAAAGATTTATTTTTATTTACAAATACAAGAACTAGGGTGTAGGCCAAAGATGTGGGGGCGGGGGTGGGGACGGTGAGAGGATTCACCAGAGACAGAATGGGGAGCAGAACAGGTGGATCTACTGAAATGCACTGCTGAGGGGAGCAGTGGGGGAGACAGGAGAGGTCTGATGCACCATGTGGGTCAGCTCCCTGGTGAACGCATGCTGCAGTGGCTAGCAGTAGCTTCATAGTGTTGAGACTTTAACCCCTGCACCACCAGGGATGTCCTGTTTTTGCATTCTTTGGGTAGACACCTATGAGTGGAACTGCTGGTGGTGGAAATGTAGACTGGTCCAGTCCCTATGGAAAACACTATGGAATTCTCTCAAAATGTTAAAAATAGATTCAACATTTCCTTTTTAAACCCACCAAGGTTTTCCTAAAGTGATCTCTGCTATTTTGATTACTCTACTTTTCTTAAGAACTCTAACATGTAGGGTTTCTAGGCTTTCAATTATCTAAAATTGTTGAAACTCTTCACTAACCAATAAAATGGGATTCAAAATAAAAAATCCTATCTATAACAATAATTTTGAGGATGAAGTTAGAATTTTCAGTGTAAATGAAGTATGCGAATACTCTTATGGGTAGTCATAAGATACTTTGGATAAAAGCATGAGACCTTAGGGAGTTGTATATTTCATGCTGATTATAGATATCAAGCCTAATCAGTTCATCTTATCCATGAACAGCTGAAATTACTAGGGGGAATATTTAAGAAGGCATGATTAAATGAAGCATAAGAGTGGAGGTGCTAGCCAGTCTAATATATATATATATATATATATATATATATATATATCACTTAGCAATACTTAATGAATGTTTATTACTTTTTCCAATTTAATATATATGAAGAGTTGAAAAAGGACTAGACAAGATAGAAAAGATGATAATTTTGAAGCTTAATGCAAAAAAAGAGAATTTTATATGGTACACTATTAGTTCTTTTTTGTTACTGAAATATACAGTATAGAGATCTGAAAAAAATGCCTAAACTGAGAGGTTACAAAGAACACCAAAAGTTAATGAACTCAGCTAACATAATTATGGAATGTTTTTCTCTAGTGCTGTGATGTCCTTTACCTCAAAACATAATAAACTGAAATGAGATGACCTTGTTTAATACAGGTTTTAAATAATGACCTCATTCAGCCAGTTTTTCTCATGGCCATTGAGCAGAACAGATCTTCATTTACAGACTTTCATCATCAAAATCTTATTAGACTTAGGTTGCACTTATCCAGATAATCCAGAACCCACAGAAGCATAAGTAACAGTTTGACATTAGAGAAAAAAATTAGAAAATGGAAATGGTGAAAACTCCCCACCCCACCATTCAATGAAGCAGGGTACTGTTGGTAGTCATTGAAAACTACACCAGTGCCCTCGGTATCCTAACAGGGTTATATAACTTAAACCACAGGAGAGCTGAGACAAAAATAGAGATTTTATCCCTTTGATTCTGTGCTCATTGTTAAAATAAAATGAATTCAGGTGTTTTCATAACAAAGCAAGAAAAAGCCACAAAAAAAAAGCCATGGGCCATTTATATGAAAGGCCATTATCTAACTTTGTTTTGATTAAAAATTACTTTAAATGATTTCATCAAAAGATACACACACATTAATAAATCTGCATGAATGAAAATGCTAAGCTATTAAAATAAGTAGTTTTAAGATAATTTTTAATAATTTCTATGATCACAATGTGATAATAACCTTATCAAGCTCTGTAAAAGAACCGGAGAAAATTTTCAAACTCTTGATTTGCTGATAAAGTTTTTAATATTGAAACTTCATAAGAATAAGGAAACTTTAAAGAAAATAAGAAACGATTTTAAATTTCATTTGTAAAACCCAAAACAAGTTTTTTAAGTCTGGTATTGACAGATTGTATCAACAGCAGCATGATAGGTTTATAGTATACTGTGAATTAATTATTTAATTAATTAATTTAAAGTAGTATCAGCTAAGGCATACTTGAATTTTAATTAAAACTTTTTTTGCTATAATTGAAAAAAACTATGGCTAGAAGAAATTCTGCAGTAAGAATATGAGAGGCTAATCTCAAACTTACAATGACTTACCTCAATGATAACATTTTAAATATATGAGACATATATATGTGTATACACACACATACAGAAATATATTCCCAAGCTTTCTTTCTGAACCAAATTGAATCCTGAAATACTGATACTATAAAAATCTCAATGTTACACTGGAATCAATAGTAATCTATAAGGACTTACAAGGAGTTGTAACTTAACTACAGTTCATTCTTAATTATCCTCTCTAATGTGAAAGGGCACTAACAGAGATAATCCCCAAATAATTATTTTACTTTGGAATACAATATAAGTTTTTTTCTTTCTTCTGTCCATCAGATTTACTTACATGATGTTTGGGTTAATTTATTCATTAATTTAGCAGCTTATGATTATAGTATGGATCAGTTACAGCCAATGGTGTGCTTATACTAGCTCTACAGAGAAAAAAAAAAGGGGGCTTGATTTATGAGGTTTGCCTATTTATTTGGTATTAATATTTCTATCATGCCACTTTCAAGGTACCAGTGGGATATTATAAATGCTAAATTGGGCAGAGATGTGCAGAATTAGTGCTTGAAAGCTAGTTGCAAGAAGCTCTAGCACATCTCTGGTACAGTGACAAATATCTTCAAAAGATCTTAAATATATCACATTTTCTTTGAGTGCATTTTAGAGCTGATTGGCCTTCTAATATTAAACCTTCCCAGATTTTTAATTAAATTCAACATCTCATTAGCAGATTTTGTCTAATTGCGAGAAATTCTGGCAGAGATAGGTAAGATTTAAGGTAGATTGGAGACTGAGAGGTCTGGTATAGGGAGAGAGACCAGTGACATGACTATTAATTTGAAATGAGGCTATAGCTGGTTTGTAGGAACTCGCAGGTCAGGGCTAGTGTCCCCAGTTGCTCTTTGGACACTGACTCTTACATATCTGCAAACATGTTTATAGAATTAAGCAATTCTAAAATATCTGTAAGTGGATCATCTATTGCTACTTATACCTAAAAGCAGTTCAAACTTAAAAGGTAATTTTAAAAGGTTAATTGCTAGTCATAACTACATCATATTTATATATTTTATTAGAGATAAGACAAAAGGCCTTATTTGTCTTGGGCTTTTAAAATTGCCAAGTGATAAATTAACACTTTCAAGTGTCTGTCATCTCTAGAGGTGTCAACTGATTAATGCTATATATAGAGACAAGAAAAGTCAGACCTGATTCCAGTTTAGGTCTCAAGATTTTTTTTATGTATAGTTTATTAAAGTCCGGAGGGGAAAAAATGAGACAGCAACTCTAAAGAGAAAAAGACAATGAAAAATGTGGCTCGGTATTTACTGAAAAGTTCCTTGTGGAAAGTGTGTAACCATCTCTGATAAAGTTCTTTAAAAACCTTAACTGGAAACATAAACATAAAGCACAAATCTATAAGATATAGCCCACCTTTAAAATGACAAATCCCTATTAACAGTGGCATAACAAGAATAGGGTGGTGGGAGCGTCTACTTGAGTACAGTAATAAGGTTTTTTATTTAAAAACAAGAATGACTAACAGTCTACTTTTATTTTCTCTGTTTTGGCAATCCTAAACAATGTAAAGACAATATTTCCCCCATTTCAAGATTGACTGCTCCTACCACACCTCCCTCATGTCCTGCCCTTGGTAAACCACTTATAATTAATATTAAAATATGGGGGTTCCCTGGTGGCACAGGGGTTAAAGATAGCGCTATCAAGCTATTGCCAGGCACTGCAGCACGAGCTTGATCCCCGATCCGAGCTTGATCCACGATCCCCGGCCCAGCAGGCCAAGGAGCAACCTACATGGTGCAGCTCACCTCTCCTCTTTCACCTGCTGTTCCCCTCAGCATTGTGTTTCAGTAGATCTGCCTGTTCTGCTCCCCAATGTCTCTGATGAATCCTCTCAACCCGCCCCCCGACCTCTAGCTGATTCCCCAGTTCTTGTATGCATAAATAAATCTTTAAAAGAATAATAAAAAATAAAAAAATTTCATATCTGCCATATCGCAACTCTAAAACATTAGTTATCTTTCACCAACCTAAAAATTCAGCACTTCATATAACATTGCAAATCATAAGGTTAAAAGATTCACTAAATTATATAATAGTGTTGTCAAATTTCCTAAAAGTGATCAAGTAAAAAAAAAATTCCTTTTAATTAAGTTGGGAGTTCATGTTTTCTACAAGTAAGTTGATTTAAAACAGACCTTGCAGATGACCTTGCAGGCCCTACCAGCACAGCTGACATATACAAGTGTACCATTAGGAATTGCTGCTTTACTGGAGAAAAGGGAAAATATAAAATATACTTTCATCACTGTAACTCTAAAACAAAATGAGGACTAGATTAACAAAATGGCAAATAGTACAAGGTCCTGGTTGAGGTTTAATTATACCTCTGCAAGGTCTGAAAAGAGTGCTTGGCTTGTATTACGTCTCAGTGTATCCCAATAGCTTCGGGAGACGAGTTCCTCAGCATCTGTTTTAAGTACCTGTAGAAGTTTTAAGAAGCACAACTGAAATCTAAAGAATAGTCACAAAGAATGATAATTTATACACTTTAAATCTCTGCTAGCCAACCTTGAAAAGAAAACACATTAGCTTACCTTTTTTGTTTTCTCCTGCACACAACAGTATTATATTACACTGCTGGTAAACCCAGGGTATTTTCAAAGGTGTAATGGTATATAACCACTATTTCTAAGTATAATGTGGCTTTGTCAAAAAGAATGACATTCTTCATACCCTCCCCCACGTTCTTGTATTGAAACATGCGTAACTTCTAAGAAAGTGCAAAATAAAAATTTTATTCACACCCTAAATGAAGTAAATTCATTTGGAGATCTGGGGTTATTTTGTAGCAGCCTATAAAAACCACGCTTAATTTAACAATGAATTATTGTTGGCTCGCATACATCATGTAAGTGAATCAAAGAATCAAAATGACTACATCCAAACTTCAGAGAAACAAAATTTACATTAATCCAAAACTTGTCAAAAAGAAACATGCCAGTTAAAGCTAAATCACTCAAAACTACTCAGGGATTTGGCAGGTGCATCTATTGTTATAGATAAGGTATTTTCTTCCTATTACAAGGAAAGAACACTAGCTTCTATCTCAATATTGAATAGTTTGAAGAAGGCAATATCAAGATTAAGAAGTGTAGTATAATTGTCTTATGAAAACACAGAACTGCAAGTTTAGCTTGGCTCTCTGTCAACAAAAATAATTAAATGCAGTTTTTGTCAGGATTTATCAGGGAAAGATTTCACAGGTTCTCAGGCTGGTGTTCCTTTGGTTATTGTGAGAAGAAAATGCTGCATGACATACACAGGAGTGAGTGAGTGGCTGATAATGAAATTGTTTTTGATCTTAATCTTTAAAAGTCCAGCGCCACCAATAAATTATTATGCATCTGTGAATTATTTAAAAGATCTAAGTTTTAATTCATTATTATTAACTACAAAACACTGCCCACTGTCTATATTTTAATAGTCTTAATAAAATGTTAGTAACAGTATTTAGCAGGAATCAATTATATACAGACATATTACTGAAAGTACAAATGTAGCAAATGGCAGAATTTGCTCTTCACCCCTCTAGTGATTAAATAAGCTTAGTTATTTAGTTAAATTTGGTAGCTATAAGCTAAATTTGTACAATTAGCTGAGTATAGAACACATTTCATTTTCTATTATATAGGTATGGTAGAACTTTGATAAATGGTAGGTACATTAAATTTTTGCAGATATTATCTAAATATTCTGAATACAGATATATTTTTTAATCATAACTTAAATGGTTAGTACATGATTAAGAAAGAGGGTTATTAAACTATCAAATTAGAAAATAAGGTTTACTACACTACATTATTATTAGAAATGTAACAGGTATGATTCACTTTATGAAACCATGTCTCTTTTTCCAAACACTGGTCACTGTCTTAATTAATTAAACATACACACACACACACACACACACACACACACACACAAATATGAGTAATGGCATTAAAAAATATAACACATTAAGGGATAAAATTAGTTTCACAGACTATATTGACATGGATCGCTATAGAAAAAATATTTTCTGAGCATAGAAAAAAATACCACACAAAAATAAATTGATTATCTGTGAGTGGCACGATTAGGATTTTTATTTTCTTCCTTTTGTTTTCTTGCATTTTAATAATGAATATTAATTTATCAGAATAAAATACAAGTTTTTAAGCTAAAAGATTTTATTTAGAAAATACAAAATACAATGCCACTTTTGGCATATGTAACAGCTTGATATGAATAGTTCTTTCCTGCAGAAAGCTTTCAATAAAAAGCAAATAAAAAAACAGAATATATGCATACAGAAAGACTGACAGGAGAAAATGCCCAAACATAACTCAGCATTATGAGATTATAAAATAAATACTATAATGCTTTGATACATAAATAGTGGGCCAATTTGCAAAGACTTCCTGAAGTCATCTTGGAGTTCTGTGTGAGTTTTTGGCCTTCTTACCAGAGTGTAAAATTAGGTATAAGCTTCGTTAAAAGAGATAAAGAAAACAAAGAAGTTCAGATGGATGAACACAGGCAAAATAATGTCCTGAATGCATTGTACCCTTTAAGATACGGTTTTTTGTTTGAGTTTGTTATTTGTAGAATTTCATGGAATCTCTCCTTCATAATAAAAGTCAAGAAGGCCATTGCCTTTCATGAAGAAACTTCTTCCTAAAGGTAGAATCCTAGGTTTATATTCAGTTCTATGAATTGTGCTCATATTAGATACTTTAACATTCCAATTGATCTATAATTCTGGAAACTAGCAGATAATTGTCAATTAACTCCTAATATTATGTAATGTATTTTATAATATATACATCAATGATATTTAATATAAATCTTAGACTGTCTGAATATTTTCCTAATTTTAAATATTCTTTTTTGCCTGCATTTTTTTAAAAGAATCATTCCTTTACGAGCAAATTTTTTTCTATCATAGGAAAAAAGTATTATCGGTTGGTTATCCAACTAAACTAAGGGAGTTGAAAATCATAATCCATATGTATAAAAAAAGATATCAAGTTACATTACTTTAAAATATCTAGTTTATATTCTTAAATGGATAAAAAAGATATCCAGCAAAATATATAACAAAATATGCATCACCACAATAATATATAAAATTATAAACTTTCATATTAAATGAGCATAAGTTAAATGAAATGTACCATTTAAATCTGCTTCTCAATATTATTCTCTTAATGTCTGAGTGACTACAATTTGTATATGTAACTTAAACCAGAGCCATACTAGTTCTTTCCTTTTAACAGTTATACTTTAAAATATATCTTTTACAAAACCATATGATCATGTACATGAAAATTATTACTAGTTTAAAGGAAAAACAAAAAAGTGCCATGGTTAGAACAATGACTCATGCAATGACATACTAAATTAGGAAATAAAGTCATAAACATCACTAACATTTAATAAGTTTCACAGGACATAAGGCATATGAGATTTTTGTCTTACACATTCTTACAATTTTTTAAAATGATTAACAGTAATCTTTTAAAATTTTAAAGAAAGTGGCAGACCTTATTTAATGGAAAATTGTAGTGAATTTTTTAGAAAAAAATTTAAATATTTTGTAAGGGAGCAAATCAGTCAATCAAAGAGTCCCATAGACTTGGCTTGTTCCCCAATCATTTTATGTCAGTACATTCTTTGTGACTTAGGCAAGATATTTTAGGTTTATTTTATGCTGAATCAGCCTCCAGTTCTATCTACAACAGAGTTTGTTTTTATATTTTGGAGTTTTGAATAACTATGCAATAAAAGAGGTAGCAGGTCCTTTTAGAATTGTGCACAATAACTGGAACCCTTTCAGCAGGATATACTGAGTCAGTCATCCTATACTCAAGGGCTTCTTACAGCTGGAATTTGTATAATTTGAAGGATTCTTCTAAGTGACTTAAGAATTCTTGGGCAAATTAAAAATGAACTGTATATATTCACACTCAAAATGTGCTGTGACATATCCTTAGTTGTTTAGTAGCTGGGCTAACCAACGAGCTCTGACTTTCTAGGAGAAAAGATGTCAGTATAAGGAGAATACATTTGGTAGATCATTTATAGGAACTTCCAATTTTTCAGGGCAAGAAGAGTCTGAAAATCATAATTCTCCTTGAGAAATAGCATGATGCATTGATATTTTAAACATATCAGAGTCAACTTACACCAGGTTTGGAAATAAGTTGGGAGAAGTACTGAAAACTAAGAATAGTCTATCCATTAATAACTTTATTAGAAATGAGAAAGGACTGTGTATCAGGTGGATAGGGCTCCCTAAAGTACCTGTTCTGCAGGAGCACAGCCTGAGAATATGTTCCATAATTTGTATTTAATTCTTCAAATACTGTTGGAAATATGTAAAATTGCAATTGTCCCAGCAGAGATTTCATTGTGATCATTCAACTCACCTTTCCCTTATTCTATAGCTAAATATATAGTATTGCTCTGTATATCTTAGTCTTCTCTTTAATCTAGGAAGGAAATACAAAATTTTGGCGTGGTTGCACCTATTATATTCAATAAATTCCTAAACATAATCAAAAGCAGACAGAGCTTTATATCATAAAATAACATCATCAAGTATAACAGGCAAGGGCTAGTGACATAAAGAACGTTTAAAGTATTGTACATACACTATTAGTAGGAGAATGGTATCCATAAAGTTGAAGACGCTGACATAGAGCACAAAGGGCCAAATGAAGTGTCACATTTCAGAATGAACCCAAGTATAGCAAAAGAAAAAAAGAAAAAAGATGACAAAATAATCAATTAGGAAGGGCAAATCATTATGCTACATTCTATATAGAGCACAAATACAATACAAGTAAGATAAATATTAAAGATGAGTAGCAAAGTTTTTAAAATCTCATACAATTAAACATTACATGAATTTGTGCTCATTGCAATCATCTTCATTAACTTTCTGACAGAACTACTGTTTTAAGTAAAACATATTCCCTTTTAAGAATGTGGTATTATTTAGACATGCTTCAGCAATTTTACATGGAATAGGGAAAAAAATTTAAATGTAGCAGTATGGCAGTGGAAATGGTAGTGGAATCTTGTTCTGCTTTTACTAGTGCTGTGATGTTAAACAAATTAATTTACCTCTCTAAGACAGTTTTTTCATCTGTAAAACAGGTATAATACTTACCTGAGAGATATATAAGGAGTCAACATTTATAATGGATGTAGCACAGAGCTCAGCATATAAGTATCCCAAGAATTGTTTCCTTCTGAAGCATGGTTTCATTTTTGGTATGTAGCTATTTCCAAATTTAGTTTTGATTTAACTTCTATTTTGATATGTAAATACTCAACTCAAGGTAGCTGTATTGTTCTACTCGTTAAAAGAGAACCATAAGCCTTACAATTAGCTAATTCTTTTGAGTGTTTATTATAGCCTACATGTCACTAGCGGCTACATGTTTTAGCTCACTTAACCACTATAACAATCACTTGTGATCACGACGCCTTGTAGCCCAATGTACAGATAGACAGGCTCCAAGAGATGAAGGACCTTGTTCAAGATCGCTGAGGTAAGGAAAGGCACAGCTACTACCCAAACTCTGAATATTTGGCTGCTGAGCCTGTGCTATTCAGGCTAATGTAATATCTCTAATGTAATATATTTTCACTGTAAGCTAAAGTTCAATTGCTTCAAAACTCAAAAATCTCATCAGTTCAGATTTGCCTTATTAATGTGACAACTGTGAATAGTAAATTACTACTAAAAATTGTTATTATTAAACATAGTAATGAACACTTGTAGAGAGCTCTATTGTCATAGTGTTCAGTGGTTATATATACTAAAGATTACTTCTGAACTATTTTAAGGAAAAGTTCTGAAAGCTAAAATACATAGATGAGATTTCAGGAGCGCTATTTAACCTATGTAATAAAAAATATCTCTAAGGTACTTGAGGAAATCAGAGACTTTAGCTAGCATTCCTTTACATATGAACAAGTCATATAAGTTACTTTTACCTGTACTTTAAAACAAATGTCCTTCTCCGTGTATTTTCTAGAGAATGCTTCACTGTTGTATATTCAAATAAAATAATTTAATGTATGCTGATGTAATTGAGATTTCATAATTCAAATAGACTTTTTTTCTAATTAATCTAAGTGAATGAGATTTTTATTACATTATATCACTATTAGATGTTTGCATTAAATCAATATTAAGTTTACTTTACCATGGCTGCAATGAAATTCAGAGCCAAATACTGTACTGACACTGTAGCACTTCCCAATATAGGTTGTCTGCTGTTATTTTTCCCATTTTTCTCTCCCTTTGTTACTTAAATTATGTATTTTAGTAAATGCTAATGTTTAGGATAATACTGCATTTTTAGTGGGAGATCCATAAGTCTTTCCTGGAAGTAGCAAAAATAAGCAAATAAAGCAGTTTTAATTTCTATCCATTGAAATACTACCTACTTTATCACTGTGATGTAACAAAAGATTCATTACATAATCCAATCTCCTAAATTATATTTTATTAGCAACATGTCTTTAATCAATTATAGCTAATCTACCAAAATCAAAATAATTGTTTATTCTTTCAATATAAAATATATTATCCATAGAAAATAAAATGGGTATGCAGCTCTTTAGTCTTGTCTGCTAACACTTTAAAAAAATTGGGAGCTAACTCATACAGGATTTGTTGGTTACAACTTGAAAACAATGAGGACAGAATTAAGGAACTCCTAATGTCCTTTGTAATACTTGACTAACATTAGTATTAGTTCTTTGAGTTTTTGAGAGTATCTTCCATAACTTTTCAATTAGTATATTGGGGGAGGCCAATAAATACTGATAATTACAGATAGCTTTTCAGATAATTATAATTACATAGTTGAATATGAAATACATTTCATAATCCAAATAATCTTTTATCTCAGTATTAATATAAACATAATCATAGTGGGATTTAATATGGCATGTCTTTAAAAAAATCCATATAACAATGAGAATAATAAAAAATGTTGCATCTCTCTTAATTATTTGAATTCCACATAGAACAATTAACCTACTGCAGGGTCACTAATCTGCAAATGCAACAATTATCATTTACATGTCAATGAAATTCACCATGTTCCTGCAATCTGAGGCAGACAGATGAAGAAATATGCTGTAATGGGTAAAAGTATAGGCTATGAGGTTGGCCAGACATGGGTTCAAATTTCGTCTTTGCCGTGTGATAGCTATGTAATATTTGACACTGTACTTAATGTTCCCAACTTTCAGTTTTCTCATCTGTAATTAAAGATAATAAGAGAACTGTTGGGTAGCTTAAATTGAAACATGCATACAAAGTACCTGGTATAGTAAGGTTTCAGTATGTTTTTTTAATTTAATTTTATTTTATATAATTTTTACATCATTTTTCATTTTTGCACAATGTATGCATTTTCATCTTGGTAATATTCCCCATACAATTCCCACCCTCAGTATGTTATTTTTATTATGTGAACCTGGGGATGTTGTCAGGTTAAAATTCTAGGGACAAGTAAAGAAGTAACTGGTAATAAGTGGAGAGAAATATTTAAGTATGCTTTCATAATAAGATAAAAATATTATTCATCTCAAGAGATTTTATAATGTATATTTCTCTGAATTCAGAAAAACATAATTTGTTTTTTCTTCAACATTCATATTGTTACAGTTATCACTAAACTCAATCTCATGTATAATTAAATCTTTGCAATTCACCTTTAAATTTTCACATGCATAATGATCTGTATTAATCTCTTACATGACAAACCCTTCAAATTTCATGGATAACAACAGTATGGGTGAAAATGATTTAATGAATATGATTATGAATACAGATGTTTAATATCAATATTTGACATAAATATTGATATAGATGCATATAAATACTGAAGCACTTTTTCTACATACGAACTTTAGGAAGTTTCAAGAAAGGGACAGTTCCAAAGTTAGAGACTTAAATTATTACTTCTCAACATGAATAAAATAATTCTTACCTAGAGAACCCACCTGAAATGACTGTAAATTATTCTTACCAGCATTGCACGTTTCTCTTCATCTCCTTTAGTTTCTCTTTTTTCATTTTTTTTCCTGAAGATCTCTTGAAGCTGACAAGGAAACCAATTAAGAATCAAACATCCAAAAAAGAATTTCTAAGTACCAATCTACTAACCAGTGCTAGCTATAGTCTAAAACAAAGGACAAGTTAGCTTTAACCACCAAGAACATTAAAACTAATGTATTGGTTTCAATATAGTAATGTAGTGATGCAGTAATGTATTTTCAGATACCATTTTTCTCCCCTGAAAAAAAGAAAATACATTCTTCAGTACTGGCAACCCATATTTAAGTCAAATGTACAAAATTATAGTTCACTTTATCTCACAAAGACATAGGATCAGTGTCACACACAAAAAAACAGATGAAATCTGCTGGGATAGCATTCAGGGACTCTAGTTTGTGTCACACACCTGTGTCACACACTAATTTTATGATGGTGGACAAGTCACACAACTGTCTCTGGGTTCCAGTTTGCTCATATATGAAATGAAGATGAACCAGGTGATTTCTAATGTCTTTCAAGTAACTGGGCGTAGTGGTGGGAGCATGGCTTCTACACATGCATTTCCTTGAACAATTACTCTATTTAAGCCTATTTTTTCATGTCAGGAACATGAAAGCAATTCCTTACTTTGTAGGAATATTTTTTTCTCTAAAGTTACTGGTGTGTAATAGGCAGCTCTTATAAAAACATCTGTGCGGAATAAATATTACAAGTAATTACCTAGCATACTACCTAGCACAAAATAACTTTTCAGTAAATGTAAGCTTTAAAATCCTTTTTACAAATGGAAGACTGATTCTACCTTATCTCAGTTTTCTGTGTAACTTGAACAGCTATCTTGGCATATTTCCTCCAAAGATATATACAAGAATTAAAAATAAAGTACAAATTGTATATGATTTCATTAACACATAAATTTATTTCCAGACTCTTTTTTAGGAAGAAGAGTTTTTTAGCAAAGGTTATTAATAGTCACTTTATAAGAAGGCAGGAAAATCACAGGTTTTAGAGCTCTACAAATAACTTACCAACTCCACCTACTGCTTTCAGGGACTTTATACTCTTTACAAACAACGAACAAAACTCACACATGAGGCAGCAGTACAGCCACTGCTAAGAATAGGACATCATTTTAAAGCAAGGGCAGCTTTCGTAAAAATGTATAGTGGAAGAGGGGGTAAGTGCAGTGTAAACATTTCTGTCTCCCACCTTGACAATGTTCCAAAAGATATCTATCAATATGTGAGCAGCTTCCAACGGGCTGAGTTCTAAAAGTCAACCTTCAAGTCAATGAGGTAGAATTTAGCAGTGTTGCCATAGAATGTTTTTGGAAATTAGATTACAAGCCCATTCTGAAAATTTTAAAATAGAGTTGTGTGCCATCATAACCAAACTATATTAAACTCCATCTGTCCACTTTAGGATGTTACAAACAGATCTGTATTAATGCAATGAAACTTAAAAACTCTCACCTACCCACCATTCTGAAAAGCACTATAATGAGGGGACCCTTCATGGTTCCAGATCCCACAGTTTGGCTCAGGGGCTATCCCCAGGCAAGGGCTCTGTGCATGTTAGATTAAAATTTTGGATAAAGCCCAGTAATTAGTGTTCTTGCTTCCATTTGAATGGCTACTAATTAGCTTTTGATGAGGATTTTAAACTCTTCTCTTTCCTATCACAGAAAAGAATGATTTCACATTTTCTTGTCAGTGTTCCAGCCTCTGAAGAGAATAATAGCTCTTTAAGAGATTTTCTGAGGGATTTTTAATGGCTGTTAACAAAGGAAAATTAGAAAACAAAATAGTTATTTATATGCCAAGTAGATTCAAGATACATGGGAAAAAAAGAAATAGAAATTCTGGTATAGGGGAGTGATGGTAAGATTAGCAAGCAGTTAACGATTTTTCCAGAGCAGCATCAATGCCAGACCAGTCAAATGAGAAAGAGACAAATATCAAAGAACAATCTTACTTGGATGAAGTAAGTAACAGCCCTTGGATGAAGACAGGAGAAAGGGATAGAAGAATGAGAACAAGACTGGAACATAACAGTCATGAGTGGAAGAGAAAAGGGAAAAGAAAAATAATTAGTTCTATAATGAGAAGGAAGAGATTTTTTTGGCAAAGAACTATGCTTGGGTAGCTGATGTGTTGGGGGCTGAGCATTAACTGGGCCTATTTTCCACCCAATAGAAAATATTTCACACATTTCAAATGTCCAGAAAATGTGTAAACAGCTATAAATCTTCTTTACACAATGACTACAACTTATATTTTTATAATGTAAAAATTGAAGTACACACAAGAATAAACATTATTAAATTATGGTGAAATCATAAATCTTTCACTTGTCAACAACAATATTCAAAATAATGCAAAACATAAAATATAACTAATATTCAATTATTGATAAAATACAGTATGTCATATACATACCACCAAAAACTCCTTTTTATCTACCATCTCATTGCCATCAGTGTCGAACATGTTGAAAGCTATTCTAAAGCCTGCATGTGGCTCTGCCAGAAAAAATAAAACAAGCATTTGTGAAACAGAAAAATGTATTTTAAAGTACAAAATTCATTTTAATTGTAGTTATTCATTCTCTATACAAAAAGTTTCTTTAACCAAGAAATTAAAAGTATCATGTTACTATGACTTAAATAGAATGAAAGCTAAATAGAAGTATAAATATTTCTGCTTCATATATTAGCACACTTAGTAGAACTAATAATGTACTTTTTAAGTATTTATGTAATGCCTGTTGCATAGCACTACAGAAAAATTTGACTACCTTCCTTTTAACAATAAATATTTTTCTTTCTTATCCAAAGTATGTCAGTTTGTTTACAAGGAAAGTATCAGCAGATCACATTCAAAGTATTTTTTATATGTCCAACTATTTAAAGGAGAAGAAAATATCAAATATGATACAATGGACCAGTTCAAAGTCTTGGGAAGTAATGGTGGAAATGACCTATAAAAATAAATATCAAGCATGAGAAATTACCTATTTGAGTTTAACTTTCTAGAGGTTTCTGAAACATAAATATAAACTATTTTGAATGATTAATTCCCAGTTCCCAGAAAATGCAAGGAGCCATTGCTTTTCTAAGAAAGACTTTCATATACTATGATCTGTTTAATTTTATAACCTAATAAAGAGGTTCAATCTCTAAAGAAAAACTCTAAATCGTAAAGAAAATTTGGACAGAAGAAAACCTGAATTTGTCTTTCAAAGAATAGCTTGCTTGGTGTGTATGTCTTTTTCAAAAAACTGTCCTTCTCTTTAGAGAAGACCGGCAAATGTTTAAAAAAGACCTCCCACATATAACACTTGGCACAGCCTATTGTAAAACCTTGACTCCTTGACTCTATGGAAAGAGAAGTACACAATGCTGCTTTCTTAACCAGTAACAGCTTTAATATGAGTTTATAGCTTGCATGTATTTTAGGAATCTAAACATACTTTCATTTTCATTTACTTGATCAAGAAATAAAAAGTTACACAATTCTTGACAACCAATTTTAAGCTTTAAAAAGATCTTGAAAAAACACAAAGATCAAGTGTTTATAAAATAGAAGATATTTAAAATGAGGAGAAAATAATAGGCTGGCAACATAGGTAGGTGATCTAGCTCATTTTTTCCTACCTTGCTTTTCACATTTTTCTTGGTTCTAATCTAAACAAGACCTATAATTTTTCAGACCCAACTAGAAGTTTCCAAAATGGGTCCTGTACTCCAAAGGAAGATTCACTGCATCCCAATGTCTTAATCTTTCTACAGTAAGTAGTAACCACTCTGTATTTTTTTCCCATTCCTTTAAACTACTTCTCACCCTAGCCAACAAGTACCTTTTCTAACCAGTTCTGTTTTATTCTTGCTTATCACTCTGACTGGTTTAGGTGCTTATAACTTGTAATTTGTATCCAAAGTTGACCTAGGTAACAAAATAACTTTTAAACATTTCTGTGACATCCCTTGACACCTACTTCTCTAATTTTCATACTAGCAATCATTAATGATTGGACTCAAATCATCATTATGGCTTTCCAGTCTTGAACTACTTCATAGAGTCCTATTAGAATAAAATATTTGCTGCTTTTCAGTGCATGTCCACCTATGTGTGTGTGTGTGTGTGCATACGTGTGCACGCGTGCACACACACGCGTGCACACACACATTTTAATATGCCTGTATGACTAAAACTATATAAATATTTAAAAAAATACTTGTTTCTACTGGCAGTTTCACTGACGTTCTTATTTCCACATATCCAACAAATCCCTACCACTAGAAATTCTACTAATGAAATTCTTCCATTCATCAATTAATTCAACAACTATTGTTTGAGAAACTATGTGTCAGACACTTAATACAAAAAAAAAAAAACTTTGCCATTATGACTTTGATTTCAAATGTAGAGAGACAGAAAAAAACATAAACTAATTAATATTTTCAATTATTATAAGTGGTATGAAGAAAAGAAAACATGGTAAAGGGATAAAAAAGGAGAGATAGGGGAAGAAGCTATATTAGGAAGAATGGTCAAGTAAGAATTCTCTAAGTCTTCACATCTCAAAGGAAACCTGAATGATGTTTATTATCATAAGGGTTTGAAGAAAAGTACTGATGAGTTTACAAATTCCTAAGGTGGGAATCCATGTAATAAAAAGGTCAGGTGGCTAGAGCACAGTGAACTATAACATATAAGTTCCACAATAAATTTTAACTGAGAACCTTAGTAAGCCCTGTATATATTTCATAAGAATTGGTATACCTGAGAAAAAAAGAGAATAACAAGCTGTTTTAAGATGTATGGTGGATATTCTGACTAGTTAAAAAAGACTCATTCTTCCACACTAGTCTTGCAGAAAATGTGATTTGAATGAACGTGGCAGGAAACTTACAAATCATTACAGGTCCTGACCTCGGTGCTCTCCTGTAGATTAAACCACAGGATTGATATATGATATTAAATTACAATGTCAGAGCATTTTATTACTATGCTATAAACCACAATAATATCTATGTTTCTTTGCTTTTGATAGTACTATGCATAGCATTTTCCGCTGGCCATTAGATATAGAATTTGCAAAACCGCATAGTTAGACTAATGTAAGAGACTCACTCTGTCTAAGATTTGTTTTCCAAGATTCTGATTAAAAAAGAAAACTGTATCCAGAAATAGGTGCAATGAATACACTTACTTGTTAAAATACATAAAAGGAAAAGATATTCTGTGTAAGAAATCACACCTAAAAAATAAGAAATAGTATTAGTTATGTTATATATAAAATATTTTATCATGTAAAATATTATTCTTATTATCCATAAGTAATAATAAAGAACTTACAGTTTTAAGGAAAATGCTAAGTATTATTTTAAATGATACTAAACTGTTATTATAAATCATAGCAAAATAAGCAACAAAATTTTTTTGCTTCACATGCCTCTATAGAAACCAATACAAAATTTCCATTAATGTTCTCAGTTATATTGGCAAAAAAATGCAAAATTATTTTTACTTATAGCTATAAATTTTAAACTTGTTAGTTTTCAAAGCATAAATCTAACATGAAATTAAAAGGCTAGAAATGATTAACACTGTTAAGTGCTTAATTACTTTTTAGTAATTCTTTTTTAAACATTCTTTTTTTTTTGTTATTTAAAGATTTTATTTATTTTCACCTAGAAGAGCTGGGGTGTAAGCCAAGGTGTGGTTGGTGATAGGATTCACCAGAGACAGAGTGGGGAGCAAAATGAGTGGATTTACTAAATACACTGCTAAGGAAAGCAGAGGGTGAGACAGGAGAGGTCAGCTGTGCCACATGTGGGTTCGTTCTTTGGCTGGAGATGGAACTCAGGCCATAATGGTGATAGCACTGAGCCTTAACCCCTAGGTCACCAGGGAGGCCCTTAGTAAAACTTGAATAAAACATTCAGACATTCTTGCTTAGAAATTTGATTTCTGTATGGCATTCAAAAAATAATGCTATAGTTATCACCCTCCTGCTTGTTATTTATTATTCTTGGTAAACTAATACTTTTATTAAATTTACTTTAAGAATTTTTAACTAAATGGCCTTACTCTTTCTGTGCACTGCAGCCTGAATTCTTGGTAATCTTAAAATTACCAACTTTAGAGGCATTTATTCAGAGAAAATAAAAATATACATTCTGTAACTAATATTCTTATTTTTGGATTCTAAAACCCAAAATTATAATTAATGGTTTGATTCAGTTTCCAAGTGGATCCTGAAAAATTAAAATCAAGAGTAAACCAATAACCCTTATTCATGTATAAAGTAGTCCTGATATTTGACAAAGGATATAAAAAAAAATCCTTAATCAGATTGTGACCTTTAAAACTCCACTTTACCTGATGTGCTCCCAGGCTACCCTCTTTGTCAGAGAACAAAGAGAGAAGGGTCACTGTCAGGCCGTTTGTCAGAAGATGTGCCGGCAGCTGGGAGGAGGCCTGAAAGCATTCCCTCCTGTGTTTATACTAGAGTGCCATGACCTATAGACAGTCAGTTCTGGGTGATCGCCATGAATGTTATGGGAGAAAGATTCTGGAATGGTGAATGTATATAAAGATACCATACCTATATTTCATAGGGATTCCTCAGAAATAAAAAACAAGCACAAATGTAGGAGTAAAAAAGGGAAATGAGGTCAGGAAATAGGCTCTCTGCCACCATAATTCCATCATGCTGACTGCTGTTCTGATTTGTTTGAATATGTAAGTTATGTTGGTTGGTATAAACAAGTCTATGTCTTTCGTTTGATGATTAACTCAAGATTTCTCTCAGTGAAGGATTAGTTAACACTGAAGAGCGCTGATCTTGATCACGACAGGCAATTGTCTGTAGGACTCAGTAAGCTTTGAGGTGGTGTAATCCACAGGGAAGAGAACAAAGTTAAAACACATGATATAGGGCCTCCCTGGTGGCGCAAGGGGTTAAGCATCACACTATGAAGCTATCTGCAGCCTCTGCAGCACAAGTTCGATCCCTGGCCAGCCAGAGAGCAACCTACATTACGTGGCAGACCTCTCCTGTCTCGCCCGCTGCTACCCTCAGCAGTGTATTTCAGTCAATCTGCCTGTTCTGTTCCCCGCTCTGTCCCTGGTGAATCCTCTCACCCCCGCATCTCTGGCCTATACCCCAGCTCTTGTATGCATAAATAAATAAATCTTAAAAAAAAAAAACACATGATATAACTTAATAAAAATGGTCAAGGAAAAGAGATAATACTACTGAATATGAACTGTAGATTCTTAATGCTTCCCAATCACAAAAATGGAAAAAAGGCTAATTCTGCAAATTATTTTAAAGATAAAAAATTAAATAAAAATAAATTTTAACTAGGTTTCTTTTGGAAATTCAATTTTAAAAATTCTAAGGAAAGTTCCTTAGAAGCATTACACCATTTAGATCCAATATGTTTCATTACATTTGGCTATTACAACTAAGTCAGTGCAATACATGTTTTTTCATAAATGTTGTACACCAATTAGTTTTTTGTAAATCTGCTCAACATTTTCTTGCTGGGCAATATTTTAAACAACTTAGATCCATTTTAAAATTAATTTTCAATAAGTCTAAATTTTTAGCTTTAAAATTCCTTTGCCACTTCATCTCTTTATCTATAAAGACCCTCTTTAACAATTTATTTCACCTAAGCTCATGGTTTTAAAACTTTTTGGAAACATAGATTCTCTTGAAAATCCAATTAGTATGATAGATCTTCAGTGATCTATGGTAATCATTAGCCACATGTAGCTATTTAAATTCAGATTAATTAAAATTAAATAAAATTACAAATTCAGCTCCTCAGTTATAGTAACCACATTTCAGGCACCTGATAGTCACATTTGACTAGTGGCTATCAAATGAAACCAAACCAAAATAGAAGATTTCCATCACTGCTAACAGTTCTATTGGGTAACACTTAAATAGATCATCTTTCTTAACAAAAATATGCAAATATGCATATAACATAAGGAAGATTATGACATGCTTAAAGCCAGGGCTTCCAGATTTAACCCTCCCCTTAATTAAAAACAATTTCCTTCTTCCGTGCATTCATCTTTCTCCAATTATATTTAATCCAACTGTATCTTCCCATGAGAGTATTTTTTTTTTTTACAATTTATTTATTTTTTATTTTTTTTTTTTAAGATTTTTTTTTTTTATTTATTTATTTATACAAGCACTGGGTACAGTCAGAAGCGCGGGAGGGTGAGAGAATTCACCAGAGCCAGAGCAGGGAGCAGAGCAGGCAGAAGGACCGAAGTACACTGCTGAGGGGAGCAGCGGGCGGCAGGAGAGGTCTGCGCGCCATGCGGGACCCTCCTCCGGTGGCCGGGGAGCAGCCGGGGATTGAACCGGCGCTGCAGAGGCTGCGGGCAGCTTCGCAACCCAGCGCTCAACCGCTGCGCTCAACCGCTGCGCCACCGGGGAGGCCCCCCATGAGAGTATTAAGGAAATAGTTTTTAAATTCACAGACTTACTTGATCCTCTGAGCTTTAAATTTTTCTTATCCTATCATCCACTCTAAGATTTCAATGGCAATCTTTTTTTTTTTTTTTCAAGATTTATTTATGTACATAAGAGTTTGTGTATGCCAGAGATTTCGGGGTGGAGGGGTGAGAAGATTCACCAAAGAATGGGGAGCAGTTCTACTGAAATACACTGCTGAGGGGGAGCAGTGGGTAAGACAGGAGAGGTCTGCTGTGCCAAGTGGATTAGCTCCCTGGCCGGTGATCAAACTTATGCTGCAGACTGCTGATAGCTTCATAGTTTTGAGACTTAATCATTCCTTGCACCACCAGGGAGGCCCTTCAATAGCGAACTTTAAGACAATTTCCAGGGAAAAAAAATTCTAAGAGCTTTTAAAGACATTTTGGCTGAGAAAGATTTAAAACCTAGTTATGAAAAGCCTACAATAAAAGATAAGGTGTATCCTCTGTGCAGAGTCCATAAAAACCAGGTGGAAGGAAACTGAATCAATTCTACCTAGAAAAAAAATACATGGATTATAACTACTCTTAAAAGTATTTGTCTTCATGGTAGAGTTTACCTTGTAATATATTTGAAGATATGAATATTATAGAAAAAGTAAAATAAAACCACCCTTAATCACATTACCCAGAAACAATCATTATTAATATTTTGGCGTATCTCTGTGTATATGCAGTCACACCTGTAACTGTAAAATTATTTTAAGCATGAGGAAAATATGTGTAAATGAGTAGTATACATAACTTAATATCAATACCATAACACATAAGTACTAAATTAACTTACCTCTCTCTTTAAGATTTCGAAATAGCTTTGATGAGCCCTTCCAAACAGGAGGTGTTTCTGAAAGCATATGACTTAATTCCTATGATAGAAGGTATCATAATATTGATTAATAGGTAAACTATTTAGTTATAAAATAGATGAAAATATTTAAACATCTGAAAAATTTTGTCTAGGTAAAAGACCTGAAACACCATTGTATTTATCCTGTTCTACTGCTGTGGTTCATTCATCCAACAAACCCAATATTTGCCCATAGTCTAGTCTTTTTTTATGCCACATAAAAAAAGTGATGAAGAAGAGAAACCAAGTCTGCCAAGACCTTGAACTTGGACTTCTAGTCTCTGAAACTGTGAGAAAATGAATTTCTACTGTTCATACCAACAGGGCAAATTAATGCACTCCATTAGCTTAGACCTGCATTAGGTGAGGTGAAGAGTAGTTGTGTTAGACTTATATGCTTTGCAGTTAATTTAAAGAGAATATCTCTAAAGTTTCATAAATAAACATGTTAATATAGGCTTTTGAAGGATTCTGTTTAACTGATTAAAGAAATTCCCCGGATTGTTAATATTGTTGGTTTTTTTTAATACTCAAGTCTCTAATACATACAAAAGTACAAAAGGAATATATATGTATATACACATATAATTTAAAATTATAAATTGTTAAGAAATAGACTACTACCAGAACTTTAGAAGCCTTTCTATGCTCTCACTGATATTTTCCTCCATCTTACCCAGAGGTAAATACTGCCTTTAATTTTATTATTTATCGTTGTTTAATTTTTCCACCTATAAGTGTATACTTTTAAAAAAAGATTTGTTTATTTATGCATATATATTGCATATAAATGCATATGCATTTATGCATATCTGTTTATTTATTAATTTAAGAATGGGGATGTAAGCCAGAGGTGCAGGGGGTGAGAGGATTCACCAGAGAGTTGAGAGCAGAACAGGCAGATCCACTGAAATACACTGCCAAGGGGAGCAGAGGTGAAGGCAGGAGAGCTCTGCTGTAACATGTGGGTTGCTCCTTGGCAGGAGATCGAAGTCGTGCTGCAGCAACTGGCAATAGCCCAACAGTGCTGTCTTTTACCCCTGTGTCACCAAGGAGGCCCTATAAGTGTATTCTTAAACAATATGGTTTCACTTCCCTAGTTTGGGACTTTATATAAATGGAATTATACTTTATATTTTTGTGAATTGCTTTTTTATTTTATGCTTCTGATTTTATCCAGTTAAAACATTGCTCTAATTCATTTGTTTTCACTGTTACATTATCCATTGTATGAACATATCACAATTTATTTATCATTTCTCATATACTGATACGGTATTATGGTGTTTTGGCTATCATGGGTAATCTGGAACATTTTTATAAACCACTCTTGCATATAAGTTAGGGTTTTCTCTAGGAATATACATTGGTGTGAAATTATTAGGTCATTTTCAAGATCAGCTTTACTAGGTACATGTGCACGCACTATTGTAGACTTTATACCCAGGGGTGCAATTGCTAGTTATTGCAATTGCTAGTTTAATTTTAGTAGATAATGCCAAACTGTTTTCCAAAATGGGTCTACCAATTTATATTGCACAGGAGAGTTCTCACGGAGCCACCTTTTCACCAATCCTTGGCATTGTTCACCTTTTTACTTTCTGACAATCTCTGACAATACGGAGGGTAAAAAAGTGGCACTTTGTTATGATTTAATTTTCAGGAAAAATATGTTATCTATTCCATAGTATACATGTACATATATGGGGTGCTTCCATATGTACACCAAGAGCTTTAACTTACATGTTTGGAAAGTGACTTCCATGTTTTAGCAACTGTAATAAACAAACAAAATAATTAGATAATACGTCACGTAATATAAATTCAAATTCAGTAACCCCTTACATCTACAACTCAAAACACTGAATTTTTATGTCTAAAAGACAAGGTCTTTTTTAACCTTGTATCTAAGATATTTTATTTATACTTTTGCTTCAAGTACAATAAACTATAACAAATAATATCAATAGAATAGGAAACACATTTTCTATAATCACTATTTTTTGGGATTTCTGGATTTATAAAAGTGTTAACTTACTTCAGATTAAACATCCTATGAGCTTAAAAACACAATAATGACATTTATTAAATACATTATATTATAAAATTATATTAGCATAGAGAAATCTTAATTTTGAGGTGTTACCCGTGACCCCAGCTGTATTAGTATCTCTGAATATAATTCATAGGTCAGGTCATTCTAGGGCAAGTGGCAGAGAGAAAAAGAGATGAAGGAGCAAGCAGGAAATGTGGCAGGGAAATCCTTGTCCTGTTTTCTATCCCCCCCATCAACTATACAGGAATCATCTCTGGAATGAAAGTGTTATTATTGCATAAAATAGCTGGGATCACTTTATTTTCTAATTCCTTTTACACCTCTGAAGAGCCCAAACAATATAAATCTTATAATACTGGAATAAATGTGCAGTCAATTTTATTGTTTCTTTTGCTGAAATTGAACTCTGGGAATAATAACACCTGCCCAAGAATTGTATGTGATTAATTCCTATAATACAGTTGTAGTAGAAACTGGTGAATCAATTATTTCAGTTACATTACAATAAGGACAACCAGTAATGTTTTCTACATTTTAATGTGTGGCTATTTCTGTATAATTAACATTATATAATTTAAAAAATATATCAATTTCAAAATGATACAACAGACATAATTGCTACATAGCTTTCATTTTTCAAGACAATATAAAAAAATCAATTGAAGATCAAAAAAGAATGTTTTAAAATTTAATAAAATGATTTTCACGGAGAGAGATTTCTTCTCTATATAACAACATCCTTCCTTTACCCAAGATAGTTTATGCAAATGTGTAGTCAAGTTATTAAAATCATAGGCTTAGTTCACACTTATTCAAATATGTTACCATACTATGCCCACCAAGTACTAATAACCCTCTACCACAGTCCACTGGATACCCTTACCTATACTGTAAAACATACAGTGTTTTAAACTAATGTTACCTCAATTAAAAAAAAATTATATATATGTAAAATAACAGATCTACAAAATAAAATTTAGCATTTAAACTTAACCATGATACTACACATATTCAGTTAGTAAAGCTATCCTCTTCATAATGAATAAATCAATGCAAATAAGATTTATTACTCTTTTGCTTTTGAAATATAGCAGTAAGAAAAGAAGAAAAATAAATGGTACAAAAGTACATGTACATGCTCTTATGCAATGCACAGAAGCTATTTATCAAAAGAGGAAGTTAGACACACTCTTGAGTTTTGTAGGGCTTATGAGATTTCCAGAGTAAATTAATCACAAAAGACATATTCATTCTGCCGGATATGTCACCTTGTACAATTTTATTAGCTTTTTTTTAATAAAGACTAAAGAGCCATTAAGATCGTTCTTCAAAGGATTTTCTGATTTTCTAAATTCCTTATTTTATATGAAGTTACTACATATATAAATATAACTTGGGTGAAGAGGAACTTCAATTCTATTCAAAATATTTTATTTAAGTTATAGGTTGATATCCATTATATTTTCAATACACACTTAATACTTTTTAAATACTTTTATGTTTATGTGAAGTTTTTTTTTTTTTTAAGATTTATTTTATTTTTTTATTTATTTATACAAGCACTGGGTACAGTCAGAAGCGCGGGAGGGTGAGAGAATTCACCAGAGCCAGAGCAGGGAGCAGAGCAGGCAGAAGGACCTAAGTATGCTGCTGAGGGGAGCAGCGGGTGGCAGGAGAGGTCTGCGAGCCATGTGGGACCCTCCTCCCGTGGCCGGGGAGCAGTCGGGGATCGAACCGGCACTGCAGAGGCTGCGGGCAGCTCTGCAACCCAGCACTCAACCGCTGCGCCACCCGGGAGGCCCTATATGTGAAGTTTTTAAACAATACATCTTTTAAAATTAAAATAGTTGAAGCTGTATGAAAATAATTGCCTATTTTTGTTCTAGAAGAGAAATTCACCTTATAATTTTTATTTAAGAGAGGAAAATAAAAATATTTTCTAGATTTCAGTTATAATCAATAATCAGAGGTTTATCTTGATTAACATGTTTGAACTATATTAAGTAAATGTTTATCTTATGCAGAAAATGTTTATCTTTTTTCCTATTGAATGCCATAAAATTATATCAAGGATTTTTAAAAATAATGGATATGAATTCAGATAACGATGTTGATGATGATGATGACAAAAGCTGCCAATATTTATTAAGTGCGTATTATATTTCAGGTACTATGTAAATACAATTGATATGATTATTTAATCTTTAAAGAACCATATGAAACTGTTACTATTTTTACATTTATAAATAAACAAAAAATTAAATAACTTAACCAAGTTCTCAAAACTAATAAATGAATGTCAAGATTTCATCATGCTTGTCTAACTTCAATATGCTACTTTGATATGTTTATGATTAAATATGTAGTGTATGAAATATTTCTAAGGCAAATATTTTCTTTTAAAAGTCTATACTTTCAAAAAAGTTTATATAAATATCGATCTTTAGTAATCATTGTAATTATATTTTTTTAATTGATGGTTAGAAGTTAGTTGATATTAATTTGTGGCTATTAAATATCCAGTGCGAATTTTTTATAATGGAACCCAATTATATTTCCCTAGTTATATTTGATACCTATCGAAAAAATCACAAGTCATTTCCTAGAAGCAAGAATCTAACAGTAAACTTCAAAGAGTGCATTATGAAGAAAAATTTCAAGAAAATAATGTATTTAAAAATTTCAAAACATGAATTTTTAAATCATTAAGTAGCTCAAAGATTAACTTCACAAATATAAATTTGACAAAATGAAAGAATTTTATATTAAAAATACCATTGATATTACCAAAAATATTAAGTTTTATCAAATCTACGCTAACTTAATAAAAATGAAAAATCCACATTGTATAAAATCAATTAAACAATAATATATGAAACATATATATAGTTACATATATGTAAGGACCTTTTCCATGTACAAAGTTTCTATACTCAGAAAACAAAGTATAATAAAAAGATCAAAAAAAATGTAGAAATAACCACTTCCAAGGCAGAATATGGGTATCAGGTACATGGTAAATACTCAATAAATCTTAATAAAGGGGCCTTAGTTTCTAGATGTTTCTATCACTATTACCTTACACACTCCTAAAATGAACTACTATGGAATACACCACTTACTCTCTTGATCCCTTGTGTCTGGCTTATGTAGTTCCCTCTTCTTTAGTTGCGATCCTCACAAACCCCTATCACACTCTTTTATGATGAAATCTCTTCAATTTCTATGCCAATTACTACTACCTTTCATTTTTCTTTTTTACGATCCAACATCTTGAAAAGGGCCTTTAAATTTACTGTTCATTTCTTCATCTACTCACTCTAGCAATCTGATCTTTGTCCTACAATGAAATGTGAATTTTTAAAAATCATCAATTACTATCATATTAGTAAATCTAGTAGATATTATTTTCCAACCTCATCTCCTTGACTTCTCAGTATCATTCCACTCAATTGACCATTTTGATCATTTCCCTTGACTTCTATTCCTCCATACTCTTTTGATTTTCCTCCTTCTAAGTGTATCATTTTGAGACTTTTCATTTCAAGTCTTTGTGCCTTCATCCTTTAAAATGTTAGACTTTCTCAAGGATTGGTCCTTGGTCACCTATATTCTCAGAGTATACTGCCTCTATAGGCAATCTGATCCATGCACGTTGCATTAATTGCCAAGCATGTAGAGATGAATCCTGAATACATGTCTCTATACATCCTCTACCCTGATATCCTATGGAAACAATCTAAAGCACCAAAAATTAATTCATTAAGAGCTAATCTGTGGAGTAGTCAAGTTACCAAATTGAAGATTTTTTTTAACTTTCACAAATATTTTTTCACTTCACATATTTTCCATTTCTTGTTGTTACTGTAGAGAATGCTTATGATCTAGTCTCTTACCAAATTTGAATTCTACAGATACAGTATTATCAACTACACTGGCCATATTATAGATTATATCTTGAGGATTTATTTTAAGGTTTGGTTTTGCCGTATCCCAGTCTCTGAAGAAAGAATGGCTGTAATTGTTCTAACTGAACTGAAGGCATTCATTTGACATTTTAAGCAGACTATCAGTAAAACAATTCATTTGGCACATAGATTTTCAATAAAAGGAAACCAATGATCAAGCGACAGATACAATGGCCTCTCTGGTATCTCCTCTTCTGCAAATCTAAGGAATCTTAAATACATTACATCCAAAATTGAGGTTGCGGTTTTCCCCTTCAAACCCGGTTCCTACAGCCATTCATCAAATTAAACAGCCAGAAATCCTCAGTACTCAGTTCTCCATCACTGCTATTACCACTATCATTAGAAGCTTTTGAAAACTAGACAAGAGTCTCTTCTCTGATTTGCTCATGCCCCCCACTGGTCCTCTCCAATCTAGCTCCACCCTGAAAGACCTTTTCAAAACACAATCTAATCATGGTATGCCCCTGTTAGAAACAAGAAAACAGGCCCAAAAGGGAGTTACTTTTGCAAAACCCCATGTAACCAAATCAACTTAGTTTCAGCTCTCCCAGAAATGAATCTTAAACTAATCAATCAGGAATCACCTGATCAATACTGGTTAGGTAATCTGACTAACAGACCCCTATCATCTAAAGGAAGGTAACTTTGCAATAACCAATCTACTCTTTTTTGCTCTATATAGCCTTGTTTTTTCTCTTTTACCTATAAAATCCTTCATTGTGCACAATTTCTGAGAACTCCTTTCTATTTGCTGGATTGGATGCTGCCAAATCATGAAATGTTAAATAAAGCCAGAAAAGTCTTAAAATTTACTCAGTTGAATTTTGTTTTTTAATACACCAAATTCTTCTGCATCTTAAACTGCCAGAATTTTTCATTCCCTTTAGCATAAACAAAAATGCTTAATAGAAGTTTACAGACACTGAATGATTTGGCCCTGCCCCACATACCCAGTCAATCTCACTTTATCCTTTATTCCTCCCTGCTCTTCACACTACAGCCACCAGCTCTTCTTTTCTCTCTCAAATGTACCATATTTGTCATGGACCCATAGCTTATGCCATTTCTTCTGAAATTACCTCCTTCCAACTTCCCATTTGCCTAGTTAACTTTTATTCGTGATTCATATTTCATGTCAATATTTATTTCCTTGTGGAAGGCTTCCCTGTACTCCCTGGCTAGGTCACTTTTCAAAAGTAAACTTTACAACGCCAAGTGGCTTTCTTTCATGGCACTTATCACATAACAGTCTGCTATATTTTTGTATGTTTCATTGATCAGTGTTGGTTTCTTCTGCCATGCTCTAAGCATCACAAGGGACAAGGGTATTTATTTTTTTGCTCCCCTTACCACTGTATCTCCAGAGCCACGTGTAGTACCTGGCACTCAACAGGTGTCATTGAGTTCATGTCATTTAATATGCTATGAGATGAAATGGAAAGTGTGCATAAAGCACCTCTGTATCCCAAGTACTATAGTTGTCTTGAAAAAAAGCACTGTGTAATTATTTGAGCTGTAAAGTGAATTTTTTCCTTTTTTCAGGAACACAATTTTTACTTGTCTAAGACAAATTATGGTTATTTAGAGCGAGCTATTTCACAGACATTTTCTTACAGATGAACAAACTCAGCTTGTTGCTTAAGGGAAACTGTTGACATGTTTATTGCCAATGATAGCATTAATCTTTCCAACAAAAATTAGAATTTTGGACTACTTGTATATGTCACCATGAGTTTGACGGCTTTCCAATACATAAAACTTTTCTGATAAGTTTATGAAAATATTAATGAATGTCATTTTTTAAAATAATGAAATAAGGAAACATTTGGAAAATTGCACAACTCAGAAAACCAATAATCTTCAGTTGATGAAACAAGATTATATAAAAGCAAAAGATGCAGTGCATATTGTTACAGGTCATTGATTTTTTTTTTTAAAGATTTATTTATTTATTTATGCAAGCACTGGGTATAGTCAGAAGTGCGGGAGGGTGAGAGAATTCACCAGAGCCAGAGTGGGGAACAGAACAGGCAGACTGACGAAATACACTGCTGAGGGGAGCAGCAGGCACAGCAGGAGAGGTCTGTCGCGCCATGTGGGACCCTTGCTGGCAGCCTGGGATTGAACCGGCGCTGCAGAGGCTGCGGGCAGCTTCGCAGCCCAGCGCTCAACCGCTGCGCCACCAGGGGAGGCCCTCAGGTCATTGATTTTTAATGTAACAAAAGACAAAAAGTTTCAGGTTTACACTGCACCAAAATTTTAAGAAACTATCACTAACCAAATGTTGATAATAGCATTAAAGAAGAACATCTACAATTATCTGAAAATGCTATTAAAATACTACTCCCTTTTCAAAGGCTTGTAATCATGAGGCAAATTTTCTTTGCATATGTACTTCATGAGAAACAATGTATTGCAACAGACTGAATACAAGAACAAATATAAAAATCCAGCTGTCTTCTCTTAAGTTAGACATTAAAGAAATGTTTCAAGAATGTACATAATGCCAAAAAGTTTGAGAACCACTGTTTCATCACCTAGAAAGGTGAGAAACAATTAGTTTGTATCTGCACTACAGGAACCAGGACAAAAACAGCAAAGATACAGGCAGAATCTTTGCCCCAGTCCAACCTCAAAGGCTATGACTTCACTTACACTCTTCAGGCTAGACCTAAGACCTAAATAGGTAAAACACACACTCATTATGAAGACTATCAAGTGTCTTTAAGACCGATATTCTGTAAAGAGGATACCAGTAGGAGTATACAGGAAATAAAAGTCTGGTAACACTGTATAATATAATGTCTTCTGAAACACCAAATTACTTGGTTAGTTCTGAGAAACTTAATACTGCTCCACACTTTCATAAACTTGAGATAACAAAAAATCTTATAAAATTAGGTAAATTTTAAAATATACTTACATTTGGGCTCATCTGTTGTAACAGCCAAAATAAAATCATACGGAGTCATGAATAACTGCCCTTCACATTCTATAGAAGCAAACAAACGAAAGCGCCTTTCCCGAGATGTAGCATAAAGGTCCAAGTCTTCAATGTCTGTTCTGCCAATAGCAGCCTAAAGTTAAGAAAGCAAATATATTTGGACTATGTGAAATGCCATTTCCTTTTATTAACTAAAATGTCAGACAAATGATTAAACTTTTTCAACTATTCTGAAGACTAAACTTTTCAAAACCTTAGCAGGTAGTCAAATAAAAATGAGAATGATTCACTCCCCACTTTTATTTTTTTTTAAATTTTTTACATCATTGTTCATTTTTAAACAGTATTTGCTTCCCCCACTCAGAACTCCCCACTTTTAATGGTGTGTAAGAGAGAGAAAATAGTCCCTACATTTAAGAAACAGTCATTCTATATGGAAGGACAAAATATTAGTCAAAGAGATAAAAGACACAAACATGGAAAAAGGAAATGAGTCAAGTTAAAGAGAAGAAAAGCACCATAGGTTGAGGTTAATAAGAAGGCTTCCGGAGGGCCTCCCCGGTGGCGCAGCAGTTGAGCACTGGGTTGCGAAGCTGCCTGCAGCCTCTGCAGCGCCGGTTCGATCCCCAGCTGCTCCCCGGGCCACTGGAGGAGGGTCCCACATGGCGCGCAGACCTCTCCTGCCACCCGCTGCTCCCCTCAGCAGTGTACTTCGGTCCTTCTGCCTGCTCTGCTCCCCGTTCTGGCTCTGGTGAATTCTCTCACCCTCCTGCGCTTCTGACTGTACCCAGTGCTTGTATAAATAAATAAATCTTTAAAAAAAAAAAAAGGCTTCAGGAAGAAGAAAATAGGATTTTTTTTAATATTTTATGATGGAAAAGATATGAGCATTCTAGATTTACTCAGCATATTTTAAGGATGGCAATAATATTCCCAGAGCAGAGGACCGCATTCATGGAAAAGGGTAGTGACTTTAGGAGATTCTTGAGTGAAACAATGATACAAAGAAAATGGGTACCTTAGAAAGAAATTAATCTGGTATAAGAGACAGGCAGGTTCAACAGATTATTAATAACAATTACTCAGGCAATCCATAGGTGTAGGGAAATCGTTTTGGCTTTGCTATGGGTGAGAAGAGAGAGACTGAAAAACTCAATGTCAATGCTGGGGATTAATCTCAGTGAATACACCTCCAGGGTCAGTCTATGGTCCTAGATCTCTTTCTACACATACATGCCAAGGGTTCCCTCTTCCTCCGAGGGCAGGGAAACCAGTCTTATCTGTGATCACAGTTTACTTTTCTGCTTTCTTCTTGGTAGGCCTTTTCCGTGAACCCAATCAATCAGGACTCATCACCAGTAAACTTCCTGGAGGAACATTGTGTGGAGCTCCTGCTGATTTTACTCACAATTATACACCATGGCTCAAGTCTAACAATCTGAATCACAATTTTTTGCCTTGGATGTCTATACATGCTATTATCTAATATGGACTTGACCCATAACTTCTACCCATACCTAGTAGTGCCACCGCTACTATGAGACGCCTTGTTTTTTCCTCCAACTTCCTTAAGCATAGTCTGTATTTGTCCCAGAAAGCCAAACCTGCTCTACCACTGAAAACTGGGAATTTGATCCACCTTCTATGAGCTAATGCTGACAACTCCTACTCTTTAACCTCAGCTAACAATCAATTAACAAAGCCTGTTGTTCTTCCTCTAATTTCTCACATCCACCCACTGCCATTACCTTTGTTCAAACACTCTCTACTTCCCTTAAACTTCACAATAATAGCCTAACTGTGATTTCTGCCTCCAATACATCCTATACCGAGTGAAAGTAAGAGCAAACATGTAGAACTACATAGAACAATTTTTTTAAAAGATTTATTTATGCATACAAGAACTGGGGTACAGGCCAGAGGTGTGGAGGTGAGAGGAGTCACCAGAGACAAGAGTGGGGAACGGAACAGGCAGATTGACCGAAATACACTGCTGAGGGGAGCAGTGGGCAAGTCAGGAGAGGTCTGCTGCGCCATGTGGGTAGCTCCCTGGCCAGGGATCAAACTCATGCTGCAGTGGCTGCGGATAGCTTCGTAGGTTGCATCTTAACCCCTTGTGCCACCAGGGAGGCCCTAGGACAGTTTTTATTCTCTAACTTCCTGAGTATCAGAAGAAATCTGACCAAGTAAAGTTAAAGGTTTTCATTAAAACTCCACTGTATGAATTCTTGTTTACTTATTGCTTTAGCAATAAGTAGTATCCATCATGTTGGATAATAGCATTAAATGAATATTTAACATCAGTTAATGAGTTGAACAGATATTTTAAGTGTGCCTATTTTATACAAATGAATTAATTATAAAATAGTCAACTGTTAGATTATTTACTTTATCTAAAACTGTTTGAGGGACAAATATGAATAAATAAACTTGTTTTAATCATGTTCTGCCTTACATATGCCTAACCCCCTTCAAACTTTCAGCAGTCCACATGCTTCTTTCTTTGTAGTTTATGAACAAACTATTTTCTTAATGAATGAATTGATGACTCAGATGAAGAAGTTAATATTTTTTTAACTGTAATAGAGTTCTAACTAAAACTTGACAGTGTTTAGGAAGATGACACAGAGCAATGGTCCATGAAGTTCAATTGAGGATACCTGACTGACCTACTAGATTAAGGAAAGAGGCAGTTTTAGGCCAGTAGGCTATCACTACGTTGGAAGTACTCAGACCTTTAGAAGTCTAAGCTTGTTTTTAAACTTTCCAAAGTTTTAAAAAAAAAAAATCTAAACCTACAGACCTTTAAAAGATATATACAAAACTATTTAATTTCAAAAACATTTCAGGGGCCTCCCTGGTGGCGCAAGGGATTAAGCACCACACTATGAAGCAGTCCTCAGCCTCTGCAGCACAAATTCGATCCCCAGCAGGCCAGGGAGCAACCCACATGGTGAGGCAGACCTCTCGTCTCACCTGCTGCTCCCCTCAGCAGTGTATTTCAGCCAGTCAGCCTGTTCTGTTCCCCGCTCTTTCTCTGGTGAATCCTCTCACCCGCCGCATCTCTGGCCTGTTTCCCAGCTCTTGTATGCATAAATAAATAAATCTTAAAAAAAAAAAAATTTCAGCATTTTAAACATACAAAAAAAATAGAACACTGAGGTTCTTAAATTTTCATTAATGCACTGGTTCTTCACTTTGCTGACAATGAAGAGTTTTAGTTTGTTAAAAAATACGTTTAAAATTATTGCACAGGGGCCTCCCTGGTGGCGCAGCGGTTGAGTGCTGGGTTGCAAAGCTGCCCGCAGCCTCTGCAGTGCCGGTTCGATCCCTGGTCACCAGGTGAGGGTCCCACATGGCTCGCAGACCTCTCCTGCCGCCCGCTGCTCCCCTCAGCAGTGTACTTCCTCACTCTGCCTGTTCTACTCTCCGCTCTGGCTCTGGTGAATTCTCTCACCCTCCCGCACTTCTGACTGTACCCAGTGCTTCTATGAATAAATAAATAAATCTTTAAAAAAGAAAATTAAAAAAAAATTATTGCACAGTTTAACTAAAGCATCCAAACCCTTCTCATGCTAGCTGTTTCCGTTTCCAATCTAAGAATGGCAGGTCACTTATACAAAAATAAAACAACCTGAAGCTAAATGGATGACCACTGCTATGTCCACAAAGCCAGCCTCACAGAGTATGTCCTGAGCCTTCCAAAAGGTGCTTCCCCACAACATCAATGCCAAGCAGGGGGCATCAAGAGTTTCTCTTGGTTGTTTACATCTTTGTATAAACTATGGATATATGTATAGTCAATAACTCAGGATTTCTAAAACTTCTGAAATTTTAACTATTATGAGCATTCACAAATAAGAACCAATAAATAAAGGTAGAAATGATAATCAAACCAGTTTACTAATCCTCTTGGCAGTCCTGTTTGCCTAGAAATGACAATGATCTTGTATCATGTTAATGTTCTGAGCCTTTTAAAAAACAAATAGAGCCATTTCCCTCGAGCACGTTGGCATGAATCTGTGGGTATAATCCTTATATTACAAGAAGTACATCTGTATTCACTGGCTGATCTACTTTATTTAATACCTTCTTTTGTTATCTAAATCCAATATATCTTTAAAAAGTTAATTTCTAAAGCCTAAAATTAACCTAAACATCTTTCATTAATATCTTCTGTTTCAGTAAGTGATAAATTTTACATCACAAATTGCCAATATAGTAAAAATCTCATCAATAAGTAATAAGTAGTATTGTACCTAAGGAAAGTAAGAAAGCTAACTTTTATGTCAAAAAAGCTGAATTAAAGCCATTTAGTTATTAAAATATTAATTGCTAAAATGAAAATCTTTCTATTCTATCCAATATTATGTACTTATTAAATAAGCCTTTCAAAAGTATACTGGTCAAGTAAAACCAGACCATTTGTGATGCACAGGGAAGAGACTGACAGGAATTACAAAAGTCATGTCATTTCAGGAAAATTCTTAATTTCTATATGTTGACAGTCAAACTCAAAACATTTTGGAAGTTGATGAAGTGATGGATTTTAATTGCTACAAAATATTACAGAGAAAACCCTTCAGCTTATAATGGATATAAAGAGAAATAGCCTCTCCAAGAAGAATGAGGGCAGTAGAAACACAAATGGAATTGAAGACAGGCTAACTTAACTTCTAAGCACTTAATCTCTCCACAGTAGACACAATATGAAATTTAACATAAAGTTTTCATGTTCCAGCTTTCCTGGAGATGTGTCTTCTAAATGGCTTATTTATTATATGGTGAAATCCTTTTTCTGCATGCACTTCTGTCTTTAGATTTTGTTGATATCAACACACCTAGTGAGGAAGTTCTTAAATTCAGGAAGACTAAAACATACTTTTTTAGAGAGTCGGCATATCAAATCATGAAGTAGAGCTTATCAATTATTGATTTTTAAAATTTTCTCTAGTTTAAAATTTTAGAGGTTGAATATATTATATGTATATATATATGTATCTTGAATTCATATTTTCCCTGTTTTTTATAGGAACCACAGTCTTTGTTGTGAGAACTCTGGTACTGAAATATCCCTGACTTCCTTTTCCTACATCTGAGGTTGAAGATACTTAAATATTATTTGTGATATTA